TGCTGAATCAGCTAGCTGGAGTTTCTGCTAATGCTGAAATGAGCCTATGGAGAAGGCAACTGAGAGGTTTGAGGAAGTGAATCAACAATTTTTACATTTTCCTGCCTATAGTTGTTTTTTTTCTCTCTCTCTCTTTGGCCTTATCATGTTTTGCTTATTTAATTGTTCAACAATGTTCTTTGATTTGCTGTAATTATCATTATCATCATCACATTCACTCCCATCTCAGAGCAAATCTTTGCTGTTCCCTCTCTCTGGCCTAAATATTCGCATGGCTTTTTCCTTCAGCTCATTCAGATCACTTTTTATAGGTGATTCTTATAATAAGACCTTTCTACGATTGCAACCCAAACCCCTACCCTACACTAAGGTACTTGCTTCTCTGTTTTCACTTTTCTCCTTAGTGCTTATCACTCTGTGGCTGCTAGCCTCCAAGCTGGCCCAAGTGATTCTCGCCTCCTGGTATTCATACTCTGCATAGCTCATCCCCACACCAATTAGGGCCGACCTGTATAACCTACAGGATATTGTGGAAATAACCGAGTGTGAGTCCCAGAGCTGGGTTATAAAAGACATTGCACTTTTACCTTGTTCTCATTTGAGTCACTTGACCCTTGAGCAACCCAGTGGAGAAGTCATGTGGTGAGGAATTGAGGCTTCCTACCCACAGCCAACACCAACTCGCCATCTGCATGAGTGAGCCTTCTGGGAGGCTGTGGCCCTGGCAAACATCTTGACCACAACTTCATGAGATACCCCAGGCCAGAATCACCCAGCTAAGCAGCTGGTTCTGAATTCCTGTCCCAGAGAAACTGTGTGAAATAATAAAGCTTTTTAGTTGATTTTAGCTGCTAATTTGCTACTTAGTAATAGATTGGCTAATAACCCATCTAAATAGAAAACACCTTCTCCTGGCCGAATAGCTCAGTTGATTAGAGAGATGTCCTGATACACCAAGGTTGCAGGTTCAATCCCTGGTTAGGGCACATATAGGAAAACCAATGAGCCGAAACCGGTTTGGCTCAGTGGATAGAGCGTCAGTCTGCGTACTGAAAGGTCCCAGGTTCGATTCCGGTCAAGGGCATGTACATTGGTTGCGGGCACATCCCCAATATATTAGAAGACAAAGATGAAGACGAAGAAGAAGAAGAGGCTGCCAGCAGTACGAAGCCAGGGAAAAATTCAGGTCTCATACATCAGGATGATTTTAAGTATCCCATTGTACTAAGATCCAGCTGCTATGGCAGTGACCTGAATTAACAGTGGATTTAACCACACAGGAGATCCTTTTCTTTCTTGTCACAATTAAAAAATAAATAAATAAATAAATCTTTATTGTTCAGATTATTACAAATGTGTTCCTCTTCCCCCCCTCAATTGCTCCCCTCCACCAAGTTCCTACCCCACCCTCTGTCCTTTCCCCACCCCCCATTGTCCTCATCCATAGGTGCACAGTTTTTGTTCAGTCTCTTCCCTCATCCCTACTCCCCTTTTCCCCGAGAATCGTCAGTCCACTCCCCTTCCATGATTCTATTATATTCACCAGTTAATATTGTTCATCAGATTTTTTAATTCCCTTGGTTTTTAGATTCACTTGTTGATAGTTATGTATTTGTTGTTTATAATTTTTATCTTTATCTTCTTCCTCTTCCTAAATAACCCCCTTCAGCAATTCATATAATTCTGGTTTGGAGGTGATAAACTCTGTTAGCTTTTTTTTATTAGTGAAGCTCTTTATCTGTCCTTCTTCGATTCTGAGTGATAGCTTTGCTGGGTAGATTATTTTTGGCTATAGGTTCTTGCTATTCATCACCTTGAATATTTCTTGCCATTCCTATCTGGCCTGCATGGTTTCTGTTGAGAAATCAGCTGACAATCGTATGGGTGCTCCTTTATAGGTAACTACCTGCTTTTCTCTTGCTGCTTTTAATATTCTCTCTTTGTCTTTTGCTCTTGGAATTTTAATAATGATGTGTCTTGGTGTGGTCCTCCTTGGATTCCTTTTGTTTGGGGTTCTGCGGGCTTCCTGGACTTGTAAGTCTATTTCTTTCCCCAGATGGGGGAAGTTTTCTGTCACTATTTCTTCCAGTATTCTTTTGGTATCTTGCTCTCTCTCTTCTTCTGGAATCCCCATAATTCTGATGTTGGTCTGCTTGAAATTGTCCCAGAGGTTTCTTACACTATTTTCAACTTTCTGGATTCTCTTATCTTCTCCCTTCTGCAAAGGAGTGTCCTCTGGCTCTTTTCTAAATCTTTGTCTTGATTCTTGTGATCTTCCAGTCTGTTTTTAGGACTTTGTATAATATTTTTTATTTCAGACAATGTTTTCTTCATTTCTAGTTGATCCCTTATTATTTCTAGTTGCTCCTTTTTCATATTCTCATAGGTCTCATTTATTTTATCGGCCTTTTTTAGGATATTGTTGAATAACCTTATAACTGTAGTTTTGAACTCAATGTCCAGTCTTTTCTTTTCCTCCATCTCCTTCCTTTGTGTCCTTCCTCTTGTCTGCATTTTAGTTGTTTCCCTGATTTGATGGAATAGCTTTGTGTGCTAGGTGTTCTGGTAGAGCCCAGTAGCACAGCTTTCCCTGTTACCTGCGGTGAACAGTCTTGGTGTAGCCCTGTGGGCTGTGTGTGCAGTCTTGTTGTTAAGCCTTGCTTATTGTTGGTATCACTGGAATGCATTGATCTCCAAGCCGATTGGCTGTGAGAATCAGCAGTGTCTCAGCTAGGAGGGCTTCTATACTCCGCTTGGATAGGGCGGGGTCCTGGGGTGGCTCAGACAATCTTTGGTTCCCTGTCAGTCTTGCCTTAGAAAAGTCCTGTTCTGTTCACGGAGAGTTTTGGAAGATTGGTTGCAGGCGCCGGCACCTCTTTGGTAAAGGCACAGACAAGCTTTGGATTCTGGCCAGTCCCTCCTTAGAGAAAGCCAGCCCCTGGGAGAGCTTCTGTGCTCAGCCACAGATGGGGCGGAGTCTCGGGTTGGTGCAGACAAACTTTGTTTTCCCTTTGGCTCCTCCCCAAGTCCCGCAGTAATGGCCTCTGGCTTCACACACCTCTGAGAGATTTCTGCCCACTGCCTGCCAGTCTGGCCTCTCCCTGTCTGGGGCCGTCTATCAGAGCAATAGGCTGATTCTGTTTTACTCTCGAACAAGAAAGCCAGCCAAGCGTTAGCTGTCCGCCCTCTCCTTGCGGCAGGAGTAAGCCAGCAGCAAACTCAGCCTGCCCGCCCTCTCCGCGCCAGGATTAAGCCAGCGCCTTTTCCCCGCACACTGTTCTCCGTACCTTCACAGTTCCTGAGGTTCAGCGTGCCTTCTCTCTCCTTCCCAGACGGCAGAGCCTCCTTTCAGCTAGCTGTCCGGCGCTTCAGGGCAATGCCTCCCCTGTTTTCCAGTTCAAAATTCAAATTTGTTGTGGTAGGCTGCATTCGGGTGTCTACCCTATGCTGCCATCTTGGTTTTTCTCTTGTCACAATTTGAGTGTGATATGATGGCTCTACCTAGGATCCTTCATCTTCTGTCTTGTCCTGTTATTCCTAGGCTGCTTCCATTGTTTACAGGATGAGATGGCTTACTATATTCTAGCCAGTGGGAAAGAGCACATATGGTCCAAGGAGCACACTTCTTCCTTAAAAATTTTTTTTTTTTTTTTTTTTTTTTTTTTTTTTAATTTCAGAGAGGAAAAGAGAGGCAAGGAGAGAGAGAAACACCAATAATGAAAGAGAATCATTGATCCACTGCTTCCTTCATGGCTCCTACTGGGGGATCGAGTGGGCATGTGACCTGACTGAGAACCGAACCATGACCTTCTGGTTCATAGGTTGTTGCTCAACCACTGAGCAACACTGGCTGGGCACATTTTACACGTCTCATTCTACTCAGACCTTATTATCCAGAAGTTTTCGGAAGACTGAAAAATAATCTATCTTGGTGGTCATGTACTCTGTGCTGAGATCTAGTACCAGAGACAATTCCTGGTCTCTGCCATATTCTGAGCTTAGTGAAATTGAAGTTGCTGAGTTTAGCCTAACATAGCTGATTGTTAAATTCTGATCTTTGTAGTAGGGCATCCTGTTTGTGTTAATATTATAATATATACAGAACTTAAAAATAAAAATATGTAAAATCTTAGTGCTTTTCCCTATATAGAGCTGAGAGAATATGGAAGATTCATGCTTTATGCTCTTTTATTCACTGAAATTCAGTAAATACTTTGAATCCTTTGTCCATTCTGGCCATTGAAACCAAGCTCTTACAGGCAGGCCTATTTTTCTTGTAATGCTAATAATGAAGAGTTCTAGAACCAAAGCTTTAAAATGTACACCTTTATAATAAACAACAAGAGAGTCCAAGATGGAAACAAAGGAGATGTGCCTCTACATCACAGCTGTAGAGGGAGAGAAATATTACGTTTCCTAAAAATAGTTCTAAGAATCTGCTTTGCTGAAGTGATAAATTAAGAACATTCAGAAGAACATCAATCTTGTTTTCCAGTGCAATATGAAAACTTGTCTGAATATTCAAAATCCAGCAACTTGTTTTCTTCTCTGTTCTTGGAAGTATAATTTTAACAAAAAGATCTTGTAAAACTAAGACTTTTGGAATTGTTACTGCATGCTACAAAGGTAACCTTAAAAAGAGCTTGTAATTCTGATTGTCTTCCTTGATAGTTTGTTGCCTTGGCAATAATGCTATAATTTATGTCTGAATTCCTAAGCAACTCAGAGACTTAGAACTTTGCTCTGTAAAACCAGAAGAGATTCATTTGCTCAGTTCTCTTTTCTATCATATATTAGTATAATGGAGAAAAATAAATTACTGTCACACTCATCAATTTCTTTTTTTAATAAAAACTGAAAGCCTTGTTGCTGAATTAACACAGGTAATTGCCTTTCCTTTTTTTTTTTTTTTTCTGTGAAAATCTAATATTTTTATCTGTAGGAATTCATGAATTTCTTATTTTCAAGTTACTGAACAGTGTTTCTATTTTTCCACATAGACTGTCCTTCATCCACCTGGGTTCAGTTCCAAGACAGCTGTTACATTTTTCTTCAAGAAAACATCAAAGTAGAAAGCATAGAGGATGTCAGAAATCAATGCACTGACCATGGTAAGGAGTTTATTCTTTTTATTTTGCCTTTCAGAAATCAGTAAATAGTGTTTACTAATTTCTTTTAAAACAATTGTTTGTAATTGTATCTCCCTGGGTCCTTATCATAACCATATTCTGCACTGTACAAGCCACAGGCAGTGGAACTGGGTGGAAGACAGTTGTTGATCATGTACTCTGTGCTATATCGCACATTGCTGTCCTAACAGAGTGGCAGAACAGTAGCAACAGCAGTGTCTAAATAAAGTGCCTGCTCTGTGCCAGGCACTATGCTTAAATACAATATATATTATAATTGGCTTAAATTATTATAACAAACCTTCTTTTACCAAGAAGAAATTTAGGCCCTAGCCGGTTTGGCTCAGTGGATAGAGCATCAGCCTGCGGACTGAAGGGTCCCAGGCTCAATTCTGGCCAGGGACACATGCCTAGGTTGCAGGCTCAGTCCCCAGTGGGGGGCATGCAGGAGGCAGCTGATCAATGATTCTCACTGACCAGTGATGTTTCTGTCTCTCCTTCCTTCCTCTCTGAAAGCAATAAAGAAATATATATATTTTTTTAAAAAAAGAAGAAATTCAGTTCAGTTATTTATTCAAGGTCACACAGATCATAATCAGTAGAGCCATAATTCAAACCAGGGTGTGTCTGACTTTAGCACCAGAGTTCTGGATCACTCTGTTGTTCTGCCTGAAAGTGCTATTACAGGCATGTGTGTGAGCAGACATCAGGTGACAAGGGACCATGAAGTAAGACTGTGGTAAAGAAGTGTACATTAAAGAAAAATAAGAGAAAGGATATTTGCTAGAAGGTATGTTCAATATTCTCTGGGAAAAACATTTGTAACTTCATGTCATGAAATATTTTATTATTTTTTAAAAATACATTTTTATAGCCCTGACCGATTTGGCTCAGTGTATAGAGCATTGGCCTGTAGACTGAAGGGTTGCAGGTTCGATTCCGGTCAAGGGCATGTACCTTGGTTGCAGGCACATTCCCAGTAGGGGTGTGCAGGAGGCAGCTGATCGATGTTTCTCTCTCATCAATGTTTCTAACTCTCTATTCCTCTCCTTTCCTCTCTGTAAAAAACAAAAACAAACAAACAAACAAAAAACATTTTTATTGATTTCAGAGAGGAAGGGAGAGGGAGGTAGAAATATCAATGATGAGAGAGAATCATTGATTGGCTTCCTTCTGCACACTCCCTACTGGGGATCAGCCTGCAACTCAGGCATGTGCCCTGACTAGAGTCAATGCTCTGTCCACTGAGCCAAACCAGCTAGGACAGTGAAATATTTCAAATAAAAGTTATTTTTTCAAAGGTCTGAAATAAATAAATAAATAAATAAATAAAAGGTCTACTTGGGTGCTCTTTATATATTTGACATTTTAGCTCATAGTGCATCCTGTTGTTAAGCCTCTAACTGTTGTGATCATCATTGGTTCAAAATTAAACTATGATATAAACTTCTAGTCAGGATGGGGGCATAGGAAAATGCGGTACTAGAATCCCCCACAACCATATCAAAATTACAACTAAACCACAGAACAACCATCATTCAAAACTGCCTGGAATATAGCTGAACAGAAGCCCTACAATGAGGGGATTAACAAAGAAGCCACATCCAGACGGGTAGGAGGGATGGACATGCAGAACAGGCCTGGTCACACACCCACGTATGGTAGATAAAAATCAGGAGGGATATCTCAACTGAAGAGGTCACCCCTGAGAACTAAGGGAGAACTTCAGCAGCACTAAAAAACAATGGAAACCATAAAAAAAGAACCAGTCAGAAATGAAGGTTACACTAACTAAAGTAAAGAATAATTTATAGGGAATCAATAATAGAGTAGATGAAGCTGAAAATTAAATCAGCGATTTGGAATATAAGGGAGCAAAACCACCCAATCACAATAGCAAAGAGAAAAAATCTCTGAAATGAAGATAACGTAAGGAGCCTCTGGGACAACTTCAAGAGAACCAAATTTGCATCATAGGAGGGCGGGGCAGGGGGGGGAGTGCCAGGAGAGGAGAGCAAGAAATTGAAAACCTATTAGAAAAAATAATGACAGAAAAACTTCCCTAACCTAGTGAAAGAAATAGACATGCAAGTCTAGAAAGCACAGAGCATCCCTAACAAGATGAGCCCAAAGAGGCCTCCACACCAAGATACATCGTAATTAAAATGCAAAAGGTTAAAGACAAAGAGAAAATCTTAAAAGCAACAAGAGAAAAACAGTTAGTTACCTATATGGAAGCGCCCATAAGACTTTCAGCTGATTTCCCAACAGAAACTTGGCAGTCCAGAAGGGATTGGCAAGAATGTTCAAAGTGATTAAAAGCAAGAACCTACAACCTAGATTACCCATCAAAGCTATCACTGAGAATCAAAAGACATATACTGAGCTTCTGAGATGAGAAAAAACTAAAGGAGTTCATCACCACCAAAGCAGTATTACATGAAATGTTAAAGAGCCTTCTTTAAGAAGAAAAAGGGGATAAAAAGACCAAAATGGCAATAAATACATACCTATCAGCAATTAAATCTAAAAAACAAATAAATAAGCAGAATAGAAACAGACTCATAGATACAGAGAACATTTTGACGGTTACCAGATAGGAGGTAGGGACATTAGTGGAAAAGTAGAAGGGATTAAGAAGTACAAATTGGTAGTGGCAGAACAATCTTGAGGATGTAAAGTAGATACAACATAGGGAATATAGTCAATACTATTCTATTAACTATGTATAATGTCAGATGGTTATGAGATTTATTGGGATTTTCACTTAGTAAGTTAAATAATGTGTAATCACTGGGGTGTACACCTGAAACTAATATTGTATATTCAGCTGTAATTGAAAAATAAAAAGTGACTTAAAAAAAACTATGATGTTGTAAACTAGCATCTTTTCAACTGATATATCTATGATGGTGAGATGAGAGTCCTTGATTCTTTAAACATGCTTTTTATTGTTCTTTAAGATCTATAGATCTGTAGATCATTTCATTAAATTTTGACTTAGGCATATTAATCACTCTAGCATTAAGAAATGCCCTTTACCTAAAAGACACACTTTCTGACAGCCCACCAGTATAACATTTAGAATACTATCAAATTGCATTAGGAATATTTTAATTAAAATAAGAGTTATTTGGCCGAAACCGGTTTGGCTCAGTGGTAGAGCATCGGTCTGCGGACTGAAAGGTCCCAGGTTCGATTCCGGTCAAGGGCATGTACATTGGTTGCGGGCACATCCCCGGTAGGGGGTGTGCAAGAGGCAGCTGGTCGATGTTTCTCTCTCATCGACGTTTCTAGCTCTCTATCTCTCTCCCTTCCTCTCTGTAAAAAAACAATAAAAAATATATTTTTTTAAAAAAGAGTTATTTGTCATAGAAGGAATATGTGTAAGCATAGAAGTTTTTAATTCTAGTAAGTACCACATAGTACTTAATACATAGTTATTGTTTCCTTTGGAAAAACTCTTGCCTGCTAAATGATATTGTACATTGGCTCTTTGAAATAAAAAGACAAAACTTCCAACATGTCCATTTGGTTTCATTTCAAGGAAATTGAATAATAGGAATTTTTCTTGTCTTATAAGATTTTAAAATGGAATTTCCTTTACAACTATTTTTTTTAAAGAAAATCATTTATGCCCTGACTGGTGTGCTCAGTAGTTAGAGCATCAGTTTGCACACCAAAGGGTCTCCCCTCGCCAAAGGATTTTGATTTCCAGTGAAGGATACATACCTTGGTTGTGGGTTTGCATCCTACCCTGATTGGGGTAGTGCAGATGGCAAACATCTCTCTCATATTAATGTTTCTCTTCTCTCTCTCTCTCTCTCTCTCTCTCTCTCTCTCTCTCTCTCTCCCTCCCTCCCTCCCTCCCTCCCTCCCTCCCTCCCTCCCTCTTTCTGCCTCCCACTCTCTCTGAGAAACAATGGAAAAAATATCCTCATGTGAGGATTAACAAAATAAAAAGAAAGAAAACTATTTTTTATTAGGTATTAGAGGCTCAGTGCATGAAATTTGTGCATGTACCCAGTCCCTAGCGGCTGCCAGCTGCCAGCCAGGGCCACCCTTCCCCTGCTGCTGGCTGCCAGCCGGGGCCTTCCTTTCTTCTACACTGCCCCTTGGTGGTCAGCCCACGTCATAGTGAGTAATTGAACTCCCAGTTGGTCAAACTCCTGAGGGGACACTTTGCATGTTAGGCCTTTATATATAGAGATACTTAGACATAAACCAGATTTCAGTTGCAGAAATTAATGATATTGGAGGCCGAGAGCCAAGAAAAGACAGGTTCCTATACTCTTATTAGTTTGTATAACAAGGTGGAAGTTCATTGTCCAGCTTTAGTACTTACGCAGTTAAGCAGCTGCTTACTACACAGAGGCATACTTAATACTAGTGACTGACTTCCTCTATGACTCAGCTGTGGTTAGCTCTATTTGCTATTTTTCTTTAGCAAAGCAAACAGAATTGAAAACACCCAGCAACTTTGTGGCTTGTTTCAGAGTCCATTAACTCTACTTGCTCAAACTGGGAAACCATTTAGGAATTTTAAATTGTATGTAAATTTTCTTATACAATTTGTCTGGTGTCAAAAGAAAAAATAAATTAATTTTAAGCCCAGTTAAAAATGTATAAATTCAGTTTTCTTACTAATTTTTTTTTAATTCTTATACAATTCTCACCATTTATGTGATAATCTTTTTTATGTATCTCCACTATGGAAATACTCATTTCATTGATGAGCCAAAAAATTAGCTAAAATGTGTTTATATTGCTGTTTCTTATTTTTGCATAGGATCGTGTTTTGGTTTAGAATGGTAGTGGACATTAATTCAGTGTTTGCTATGTATGCAAAAGAAAAGCACAAGGACTATTAGAATATTTACATTTGGATTTATTAAATCTTCACAGCCTCACAAAATAATATCATAAACATATCATTAAGGATGTGTACTAGAACTAGAATACACAATAAGTGACTTGTTACCTTTTAAGCTGCAAAGAGCTATATCTAGAAATATTCCCTGTGTTTTGTTATAATTTACTTGATGTTACCTCTCCATTATTCTTGATACAAATATTCCTTTAGGAAAATAATTGTGAGGGGCTAAAGTGTTTCTTATTTTGCAGCATTTAACCTAAATTTATATATTATTAATACAATAGAAAAAAATGAGTATTTTCAATCTTTCCTTTTTTGTGATCTATGAGCTATGTCATTAGCCATAAAAAGAATTAAAAATCCAAATTACATCTCAGCAGGTAGTGTCACCAATAATGCATTTTAAAAAATTGCTTGTGTGCATGTATTCTTCAAGGTCTTATGCTGTCATTTGATGAAGAAAATAACATAGTAATTTAAGTGTACAGTACTTAATTAGGTTAAATGTTAAAAATAATTTGGGTTCCACTGGCTGCTATAAGGTCAGAGAAAAGGATAAAAAACTAATCTCAACTCTTATGCCTAAAGTGTAACATGGTAAAGTATTTCTCTTAAGGAGTTTTCTAATGTGGCATTTTTGGTCACATTTCAAATTATAAGTAAGAAAATACTAGGGTAAAACAGATTGAAAGTCTATATGACATTCAATAGACAAGAGGTGACAGCTGGTGGAACTGATAAGAAAGTCATCACAGAGTTGTTAAAACTGGAGAATCTTGCTGAATCTTGATTTGGGATTAATTAAAATACTATTAAGTATTTTAATGTCAGTCTTATTTTTCTTTGCAAAGTTCTTTCTTAATTATACAACTAAGGCACGATCACTGTAGAAAACTTAGAAAAACACATGCAAATATTTTTTAAATGAAACAAAATTATCCTAAATTGCCCTACCTTAAGGAAAAGTAATGACTGAAAACATTTTGGTTAAGTCTCCAAGACTCCCCATCTCTAAGCAAATACATTTTAATAAATGTTTGCATATGGATATTAGACAAAAAAGTTATATAATCCACATTTTCCCTGAAAATATCTTTACATGGTGGTACATATCCTATATAATAAAAGCCTAATATGCAAATTGTCCAACCAGTTGGAGGGACAGGGCCAGTGAGTGGGCGGCACCAAGATGGGTGGCAGCAGGCAGAAGGAGGGGACAGGGGGTGGCAGGGCCATTGAGGGGGTAGCAATGATTGGCGATGGGGTGATCGGAGACCATCTTTGTCATTTGCCAGGACTTAGTTCTTAGGATGACCAGGGAAAATATGGGAAGGAATGGGCTTTGGGCAGCAGGAGCATGAAGGCCAGGTAAGTGAGGTAAGTCAGAGACGCTGCTTGTTACTGGAACTTGACTAGGTCTTAGGACTATTGAGGCAAGTTGCCCTCCTTTGCAGGTCTCCTGAGTATGGTTAGAGTTTCTCCCCTCTATACTTGTGAAATGAGGGTAGGAGGGCCCAAGATCGTTAAAGTGGACAGTGGGAAAAAGTTGAGAGATACATTAAATGTGTTTTACTGCTCAAGCCTCTTCATGATGATTGTTTTCATGATAATGAGATTACCAACTATAGGTGAATGAAATAAAGTATAAAATGATTCTGCTCAATTTACATCACTTTATTTTACTTTTCTCATGATTATGTGCTCTTCAGATGTGCATATTTTAAAGCTAAATTAAAAATGTAAAAATATAATTATGTATTTTAATACTATATAATTTTATATACTTCATTTGGTTTTCATTGGTTCTGGGAAGGTGGTGACTCTTTTCCTACCTAAAATGATTTCAGGAGCAGACATGATAAGCATACACAATGAAGAAGAAAATGCTTTTATACTGGACACTTTGAAAAAGCAATGGAAAAGCCCGGATGATATCCTACTAGGCATGTTTTTTGACACCGATGGTAAGTGCTATTAATCTTGAGATATATCCTTTTTTTCCCCTCTTAACTTTAGTAAAACTGGTGACTTTCTTCATATTCTTTAATTCCCTAGTTCAAGGTGATGTTTCCTCTGGTGTCCAAGGACTGTAGTTTCAGCGTCACCCATGACTTGTACCACAGCTTTCCCCTGCGCAGCTCTATGTGTTTCACATGTGAGAATCAAAGTTGGTTCTTTTGCCTGAATTAAAATGTGGTTCTAGGTTCAGCAATTTTGTAATATGGTAGGATTATAAAAATCAGTACCAATGTCCGTGATTATAATACAGATGGACAGCTAAATGTATTTATTATCACTGTAGAAAATAGAAAATACATAAATATTTTCAAAATGAAATTATTAAGGTTACTATTAATAATTTATTTTCTTGGCTATTTCCCACTAATACGTTTTTTCTGTATAAATATGAGATCTGCAGAACCTTCTTGAACCGATACCTTTGGTTGACCTGTACACAGGATATGTTCCTTTTCTAATTAAAATCCGAATGTGTAGACTAGACATACCTTTCTAACTTTCTACTTTTAATCCTAGACCCTTTGGGTTTTATACTGATAATGTTGAAAATATTCTTTACTAACAGATCAGAGTTTCAAGTGGTTTGATAAGTCAAATATGACTTTTGGTAAGTGGACAGATGAAGATGAAGAGGAGGATCTGGTTGACACCTGTGCCTTTTTGCACACCACGACCGGTGAATGGAAAAAAGGAAATTGTGAAGTTTCTTCTGTGCCAGGAGCCCTTTGTAAAGCAGCTAGTAAGTATAATTGAAGACCTTTTCCCAATCTTAAAAGATGTCGGAAACATGGTTTTGAAATAATTTTCTTACATTTCAAAGGTTGAGCCAGATCAGGTGAACCACATACTTAAAGAGATGTCTCCCTTGTTCCCTTCCCTGGTCTTCCCCTAACTATTGTCTGTCCATGGGCTATGCATATAAGCATATATGCATATATAAATTCATTGGTTAATTTCTCCCCAACCCTCTGAAATATGTCAGTCTATTCCATGCTTCAATGTCTGGATCTTTTTTGTTGGTCAGTTTATTTTGTTCATTAAAGTCCACATATAAGTGAGATCATGTGGTACTTGTCTTTCTCTGACTGGCTTGTTTTGAACCACACATACTTTTATTCTGTCTGCTTATTCTTAGAGCTTGTAAGAGGTCAAAATTCCCTTTTTTCAGAGGAATTATCATAGCCCCTTAGCATGTGATTTTAAAAGTAGAAGTGGTGAAAGAAGATTCCAGGATTTTAATGTTAGTTTACAAAAAATTTGATTCTGTACAAGAATGAATATCTTTTCTTTGGGCAAAGAAAATTTTTATTGTAGTTTATAATTTATTCTGGATTAAAGTATAAATTTAATCCAGGATCTTCTGATCCATCACAATACTTTCTGGTGAACAAAGTTATCCTGACCCAAAACATTGAAGTTTTTAAAAAATCCTCACCAGAGGATGTTATTTATTGATTTTAGAGAGGAAAGGTGGGAGGGAGAGAGAGAGAAACATCAATGGATGCCTCCCGACTAGGGATGGAACCTGAAACCTGGGAATGTTCCCTGACCCAATATTGAACTCTCGATCCTTTGGTGCACAAGACAACACTCCAACCAATGGAGCCACACCAGCCAGGGCCTGACCCACAACATTTTGATGTTATTATTAAACATTACATAAAGTTTGTTCTAAGTTTTAGAAATAATTGGTTTTTTTCATTAAAGACACTTAAAATTTCAAAATATAATTTTGGAGTGTGTGAAATAAAGACAGCCATTTTCTACTTAGCATCTTTAGTAATACCTCCTTCTACTTTAACTGTAAACCAAAACTATACATCTGCCTCTGATTATTTTCTTTCTTTATATCTGTTTATTTTTGTGAATGGTGTAAGTTGGTGATCTAGTTTCATTCTTTTGCATGTGTCTGTCCAATTTTCCCAACACCATTTATTGAAGAGACTGTCTTGACTCCATTGTATATTCGTGCCTCCTTTGTCAAATATTAATTGAGCATAGTGATTTGGGTTGATATCTGGGTTCTCAATTCGATTCCATTGATCTATATGTCTGTTTTTGTGCCAGTACCAGGCTGTTTTGAGAACAGTGGCTTTGTAATATAGTTTGAAGTCTGGTATTGAGATCCCTCCTACTTTACTCTTCTTTCTCAGGATTGCTGTGGCTATTCGGGGTCTTTTATTGTTCCAAATGAACTTTTGGAGAGTTCTTTCTAGGTCAGTGAAATATGTCGTTGGTATTTTAATGGGGAGTGCATTGAACTTATAGATTGCTTTAGGAAGTATGGACATTTTGATGATGTTGATTCTACCAATCCATGAACATGGTATGTTCTTCCATCTCCTTATATCTTCCTCTATCTCTTTTTTCAGTGTTGTGTAGTTTTCTGCATATAGGTCCTTTACTTCCTTAGTTAAATTTATTCCTAAGTATCTTAATTTTTTTGGTGCGATGGTAAATGGAATTGCTTTTTTAGCCTGTTTCTGTAGTTTCGCTGTTGGTGTATAGAAATGCCATGGATTTCTTGGCATTAATTTTGTATCCTGCTACGTTGCCAAATTCATTTATTAAGTCAATTAGTTTTTTAATGGAGTCTTTTGGTTTTTTTATGTACAATATCATGTCATCTGCAAATAAGGATAACTTTACTTCTTCTTTTCCAATTTGGATGCCTTTTATTTCCTCCTCTTGTCTAATTGCAATGGCTAGTACTTCCAGAAGTATGTCAAACAGGAGTGGCGAGAGTGGGCATCCCTGTCTTGTTCCTGTTCTTAGAGGGAATGGTTTTAGTTTCTGCCCATTGAGTATAATGTTGGCTGTGGGTTTATCATATATAGCTTTTATTATGTTGAGTTATGATCCTTGTACTCCCACCTTTTTAAGAGTTTTTATCAGGAAGGGGTGTTGGATTTTATCAAATGCTTTTTCTGCATCAATTGATATGACTATATGGTTTTTATCTTTCAATTTGTTTATGTAATGTATCACGTTTATTGATTTGTGGATATTGTACCATCCTTGCATTCCTGGAATAAATCCTGCTTGATCATGGTGTATGATTTTTGTGATGTTCTTCTGGAGTCGATTTGCTAGAATTTTGTTGAGGATTTTGGCATCTATTCTTTCTTTATATCTGAAGCTAGATATATTTTACTTACTTCAGCAGAGTTCTTGACTAGTGTTTTATAGTAAATATAGAAAATTTGTCATAGTTTTATGATAGTAGCATTCAACTTCCAGTATTTATTGTGTTTTTGTTTTTTGCTGTTCATTTACTGTGCCTTAGGGAACCATTATATAAACCAAATTTTTAATTAAATTATAACTTTGAAACATCATATATCATGAGTAAATCCATGCTAATGAGGTAAAAAGTTACAACTGTGTACTTTAATTTTAATGTTTTCTACACTCTCCCAACCAAATTCCTCTTGCCTCACTTCATTTTTTTCTTGAGCCTCCTTATTCTTTTTCCACTACCAAACTAATGCATTTTGTAAGATCTCTACATCTTTTATTAAAAACTAAGTTCAAAACAGATAAAGGCAATACAAAGAAATAGGAATGGATACTATTAAGCTATTAAAGGGTTCATTTTTAACTGCTTTGAAAGTATTTAAAGGCAATCTTAGAATATTAAAAATTTTAATTTTAATTTTTTTTTGTATTTTAGTTCCGTATGAAAAGAAATATTTATCAGGTATGTAATGATCTTAAAATTTTTTCACTAATGACCCTCTCTAAAAAAGTTATTTAATATAAAGTAGATCAATTTTTATACAAATGTAGAAAGGTCTCTTTGTTTAAGTGCAATTATGAAATGAACATTTTTTAAAACACCAAATTTTCTCATTGAAATCCAATATGTTTTTGTGGGAAATGACTATCTTTTGTTCAAATAAATTTCCCCTCAGATGTAATTATATGTCTTGAGGGCTTTCTAAACACACTTTTAAAAAGCTGACATTAATATATGTATTTACATGGTTCAAAAGCAAAACTGTATACCACAAACTCTGGAAAATCTGTCTCCCATCTTTTCCTCATCCTGCATTTATCTTTACTAGCTATCATTTCCATTTCTTTAACTGCCTAGTGTTTCTTTTGCCAGTAAGCAACAGATATTTGATTTAGTTTGCCCCTTTTTATTCACTAGTATATTTTAGGTCTCTCTCCATATCATTACCTATAGATTGGTCCTTTTTTATAACTACATACACTGTATGGATATACATAGTTATTTACGCTTCCATTGTATGAATTTAACCAGCTCCAGATTATTGGGTTATTTCCAGACATTTTCTTTTATAGAGTGAATCCTTTTGCACAAAAACATCTTCACCTTGCACAAAAATGTTTATCTGAATTACCTGAATGTAATTGCTACACTGAAAGTGAACATATAACTTCTATTAATATTGATATCACACCATTGACTTTTGGATTTTTGCCAATTGGATAGTATAGTATTCATCTCCATATTTTGAAGTAGAAATAACAAATCTTAAATGCACAGCTTGGTGGTTGCTCATGTATACACTGTGTATACCATGAAGATATAGAACCTTTCCATCATACAAACTGTTCCATCATGCTCCTTCCCATGGATGTTCACCCCACTCCCATCCACCCCACAGGTAACACTATGCCTTCTATCACCAAGTATTATAGTTGCTTTTATTGAACTTCACATAAATGTTAACTCTGGTGCTCTCACTCAGGAATTTTAGTTCATCCATGTTTGTTATATATATTCACACACACATAGGTATGTACATATATAATTTTTCTATTATTACATAGTATTTATAAATGTACCAGTTGCCAATTCTATTTGTTATGGGTTTTTAGATCATTTCTAGTTTAGCACTGATATGATAGGGCTACCTATGAAATTTCAAATGTTTCTTTGGACCTATAGTCTCATTTTCATTGAGTGGAATTGAGTAGAATGGAGAAAGAATGGGAGATTTCTCATTGTTTGCCTTGTATAATTTTGCTTTTGAACCATGTAATTATCTGTAGCTTTCAAAAATTCATTTAATAAAGCTTTAAGAGAGATGCTTCATGAATTATAACTGAGGCCAGGTTTCTTTAAACAAATGGTTGCAGTGATTTCAACAAAAATAGATAATAAAATTCAATGAGAAAATACAATTTGATGTTTAAAAATATTCCAGAATGGAATTGCAAGATTATAAGGTAGCTAATATATTGTTTTATTAGAAACCACTGAGTTTTAAAAAATATATTTTTTATTGATTTGAGAGAGGGAGAAGAGAAACATCAATGATGAGAATCACTGATCAGCAGCCCCCTGCATGCCCTCCACTGGGGATGCAGCCCGCAATCCAAGCATGTGCTCTGACTAGGAATCTAACGGTAACTTCCTGGTTCATAGGCTGACGCTCAACCATTGAGCCATGCTGGCCAGGCCTGAGTAATTTTTCTAAGTGGCTGAACGACATTACATTCCTACTGCAAATGTATACAAGTTCCACTTGCTTACCAATCCCAGGATGGTACTTATTATGCTATTTAATTTTTACCATTCAACTGGGTACATAATTACTATAAATTTTTCAAGTCCCTGATAAAGAATGATGTTGAGCACTTACCATGTTTACCAGCCATTCCAATATCTTGTGAAATGCCTGTTCAAGTCTTTTGCCCTTATTTTTTTGGTTCCCTTTGGGAGCCAACAGTCCTGGATTGTGAGAGGGATCCCAGATTGGAGTGGGTACAGGCTGGGTTGAGGGACATCCCTTCCCCTCCGTGCATGAATTTCATGCACCAGGCCTCTAGTTGTTATATAATCACTTAAGTGGTTATTACTGATTATTATACAGAGGCCCAGAGTATGAAAATTCATGCTCCGGAGGGGGAGAAGGTCCCTCAGCCTGGCCTGCCACCTCTCAGTCCAGGAGGCAACCCTGCGATCAGGGGAAGGTGACACCTCCATCACACCTCTGCTGTTGCGATTGGCAGCAGTGCAAGCCTTGGTTACCTAAGACTTGGGCAGCTCTGGGTATTTGGGCAGTTACCATGGGAGGCTTGCCTGTGCCCCTGCAGGACTGAGGAATGGGCACTGCCATCTTTGAGGGCGTAGCAGTCAATTAGCATATTCCCTCCTTATTGGCTGTGGGTGCTGCCATCTTTGTAAGAGCGTGGTAGTCAAATAGCATATTCCCTCTTTATTAGATAGGATTCATTAATAAACTGAAATAATAGTATGTCTACACTGGTCAAGTCAGAATGCTATACTACAAATGGGCTATGTTAAGTTTAATAAAAACAACTAATTATGAAAGAACCCCATTTACAGTTTACAGGTTTTTAAAAATATATATTTTATTGATTTTTTACAGAGAGGGAGAGAGAGGGATAAGAGTTAGAAACATTGATGTGAGAGAATCATCAATCAGCTGCCTCTTGCACACCTCCTACTGGGGATGTGCCTGCAACCAAGGTACATGCCCTTGACCAGAATCGAACCTGGTACCTTTCAGTCCGCAGGCCAACGTTCTATCCACTGAGCCAAACCGGTTTTGACAGTTTACAGATTTCTTGGCTTAACATTATTTCATTTAAATGCCTCTAAAGATGCCTGTCAATATTTTAGAAACATCAATGGCTTTTCCTTATCTTAACCTCTGGCAAGATTTTTCTTGTTAAGCTTTACATTTCCCAGTCTCACTTTATTTTTAAAAAAATATATTTTATTGATTTTTTTAGAGAGGAAGAGAGAGGGATAGAGTTAGAAACATCGATGAGAGAGAATCATCGACCAGCTGCCTCCTGCACACCCACTACCGGGGATGTGCCTGCAACCAAGGCACATGCCCTTGACCAGAATCAAACCTGGGACCTTTCAGTCTGCAGGCTGACGCTGAGCCAAACCAGTTTCGGCCCCAGTCTCACTTTAACAAGCACCAGCTGAAAAGAGCATTATGAGAATGTTTTAGTAATCTCAATGCAAAAATACATTTTTAAAGAATAAACAATTCTGGGATTTCTCTTCATTTACTTTTACTATGAAATAAAATTACCTTCCTCACAGCACTGTCCTCCTCCTAACTCCTAAACAGAGTGATTTTTGCTTGAGTTATTGAACTAAATTCATACAGAAAAGTTCCAAGGTTTCGGTAGCCAAAACTGCAAGGTTGTACACAATTACTTCAGGAATACAAAAATACATAGTTACTTGAATAAATTCAAAAAACAAAAAGGGATTTTTGAATCTTAGAGAATTGCAAAATTTACCTGAAATTTTAAAATACGGCAGTTGTGTTCAAGCAAAAAATATAAACCTGATAATCTTATTAATTTTCTCAACAGTGTGGGAAATTCCCTAAATAGGCAAGTATTTACATGATGAAACTATTAGTGTCCCCCCAATATTGGCAATTTATGAACCTGATTTCCTATATTTCCTTTTGTCTTTTCCTTTATAGATAACCACATTTTGATAACAGCTTTGGTGATTGCTAGCACAGTGATTTTGACAGTTTTGGGAGCAATAGTTTGGTTCCTGTACAAAAGAAATTTGCATTCTGGTTTCACCACAGTTTTCTCAGCTGCACCCCAATCACCTTATAACGACGACTGTGTTTTGGTAGTTGCAGAAGAAAACGAACATGCTGTTCAGTTTGACTGAAACTTTGGAAATCTTGGATTAAAACATCAAATATGCTGGCAATGGTTCTTGTAAGACTTTAATATAAAACCTCACAATGAGTTTTTATGGTATATATCCTTATTTCAGTAACATCCCTCATCGCATTTGAAAAAGGAATGATCTTAAGGTATGTTAGTGGTTTTAATCACCTCTCTAAATGTAACTTTTTACTTGAAGGAAAGCTTAAAGCACAATCAGAATAAAAACTAAAAACCAGCTTTAAATTTTTTCATGTGGTGATGTAGAAGGGTATTATTGATAAGCTATCCTATATAATAGAGGTAATATGCAAACTGACCATCACTCCAACATACAAGATGGCTGGCAGGGAAGGGTAGTTGTAGGCAATCAGGCCAGCAGGAGAGGGCAGTTAGGGGCAATCAGGTTGGCAGGGGAGCAATTAGGCATCGATCCTGCTGGAAGGGGAGTAGTTGGGAGCCAGAAGTCCTGGATTGTGAGAGGGATGTCCAGGATTGGGCTTAAATAGACAGTCCCTCAAGGGTGCAAGCTGAGCTGAGACAACCCTTCCCCCATGCATGAATTACACGTGCACAGGTCCTCTAGGTAAGTGATACTAAAGACAGTGAACATGATACTGGAATTCCTTCTTGCTCTCTAGGAGTTTAATAAAACAATCCCAATCTCCTCAATACTTTCTCCTATTGTCACAAATCTCTACAATGGCCAATATGGTAACTTGTAGCACCCACAAAATGTGCGGCTTTTGAATTAAAAATAACTTACTTCATTTCCTCAATTGCACCAGCAATATTTCAAGTGCTCAACTCACATGCAACTTAAAATATTTTCACTTTCACTGGTTAGTGCTGCTCCAGAATCTCCCCTCCTCTTCCAGTCAATACTCATACAACTAATTCCTTCTGTTCATTTTTATTAACTTCTACCTAATGGCACCTCTTGCAAAACGGCTGTTTTAAACTGACCCCTCACCACCCCCTGTGTTTGTTTCATTTTTCAAACAAGTTATTAGAGGACCCTGGTAAAATGTTAAATCTTAATTTTCTTTATGTATCAGAACATCTGTAAAACAGGCCCTTATTTCTATTTAAAGGTCAACATATTAACTGGAGCATTCAAATCTATATTTTTATTAACAAATAATATGCATGTTTGTTTATACTCAGAATGTTTAAATTGCTTTCTTTAAGATCATGGCCTAGTTAATTCGGCAGATACCTAGAAAGAATGACATTACATTTTCCTAGAAATTTGCAATCTTTGTAGCAAAGTGTATGGTGTCCCATTTTTGTTCATAGTTTGTACTAACAAATGGATGATATTTCTTACATTTACAGATATCAGAAGCAAATACAATATTAAGTAGTGCTTAATATTGTAGTAGTGCTAAGAACTACAAAAAAAATTGCTCAAGCCACTGTCACTTAGCATTTAAAACAACTAAAAAATTGTATACCAATGGAATTTTTAACATTTAATTTTTCAAATAAAAACATTGTGGGTTAAAGAAAAAGACACTTTAGTTTTCATACTGAGTTCTAGTAAAAGTATAAATGTTTCAAACAATCCTAAGGATGCACAGAATAGATAAGGAAACTGGCCTTCTTAAATTAGCATTTTTGCTTTACATAAGGTAATGAATGCAAAACTAACAAGTTGAGCAGATGTTTTAGAAACATTTATATTTTTGTATGATATGGAATTTGAAAATTTAATAAAATTCTTGCTATAAGATTTGAAGTCTACTTTGAGCACCAAAAGCAAATGTTTCAAGCTTCAAAGTCAATCAGTATACTTTATTTTGAGCCAAGGTTTTACATGAAGACCAACAAACTGTTGATTCAGATTTGAGAAACTACATGGTTTTTATTTATATTTGGAAAAAGAAGTTTGTTGCCATGGCCTAAGACTTTATTCAACCTAAAACCATTTGAAAGTGTTTTTGAGTGTGTGCTATGTTGCTCACAGAGAAAATATACTGTACTGGTTCTATACACAACACATGGCCCCAGTGTAGATCTATTCATGATGAAGGTAAAGTTCTTTTTTCTCCAATGTAGTGAAAAATAGTAAGCTACTAAATAAATGCACAGATTAATAAGAACAGTTAAAAACAATCAGGATTCAAACAGGTTTTTATTTACGAAGAAGTGACAACACTAAAAAACATACTGAAAACCAGTGTTTTAAACTTTGAATGTGGGATTTAAAAATATTCCATTAACTTGAGATTGCAATAATTTTCATTTTACCAAATAGCACTTGTCTGGCAATTCTGGTATAATTTAGAGCTGAAATATTCCTAACGGAATATCTACATACTATGGCCTATCAAATATAACCTGCATTTTTCAAATCAATACAAAAATGTATCCATCATTTATACATTTTAATTTTATATACTTTTTAAAAAATTAGATATTACCACTAAATAAATTTAGAATTTAAAGTAAATTTGGACACCTAATATAATGCTCTTCATAACTTACTCCCCATTACTCATTCTTTTTAAACACTGGAAGCAAATGATTATGTAAATTAGACTGCAACTTAAGGCATTTTTAAAGGAAAAATAATTAGGTGCCATTTGGCATTTTATTTCAAAAGCATAGTTTAGTCTTTTTTTTTTTTTTCACTACCAAAGGGCTAAAACACGAACCGTTTTCATAAATATGACTACAATAATCAGAACAAAAAAAAGGTTGTAGGCATTGCTTATTTAAAACAATATAATACTTCCCCACTCACCTAAAAGAAAAACACTTCTGATTACCAGTTTATTAACATTAGAGTCACTGGCCATGTTAAAAGGTCCAGCAAGTAGAATTTTAATTCAGCAACACTTGAGAATGAATATATATATATATATATTATACACACACACACACAACTTGTGTGTGTATATATATATATACATATTTATTCATTTTATTTATATCATGTATTTAATAGGCATTCCCCCACAAAATTAACTCATACTTAATTGCCAGTTTTAATAAACACTTGTTAACAGATCATTCATTTGTCTTATATGAAGTTAGGCAATATCAAATGTTCTGTTATGTTCTCCATCTTCTTCAGAATCATCCTCTGAAGCTGTTGAAAGAAAAGAGGATGATCAAGAATGATTTTAAGGGGGATGAGAATAGAAGTGTAAAAATGAAGCCAGAAGAGCAATGACTTGTAAAATAAAATCCCAATGTAGTACACTCTTTGGTCAAAATGATGCTATGACAGGGTTAGGGTAGTATGACTGTGGGTAATGCCATTCCACAATGCCCCACCCCCAAATCTTTTTGTTAGTTTCTATAAAAACAAAAATGTTTTAAAATTACATCAAAACTGTGTCTATACAATGCCTAGAAAAAGCTCTACTTAGTTATTCAAAATAGCTTTTTATAGATACAGCCTAAAATAAAATAATTGGATTCAGTAAAAACCTTTTGTTGAAATAATTCCTATAACTCCACATTGCCAGAAACTTACATTTTGCAACATTTCGGACCTCAATTTATTTTAGTTATTAGTGGTTCAAGAATTTAATACGAGCCCTAACTGGTTTGGCTCAGTGGCTAGAGCATCAGTCTGCAGACTGAAAGGTTACAGGTTTGATTCTGGTCAAGGGCATGTACCTTGGTTGAGGGCACATCCCCAGTAGGGGGTGTGCAGGAGGCAGCTGCTGATCAATGTTTCTCTCTCATTCAAGTTTCTAACTCTCTATCCCTCTCTCTTCCTCTCTGTTAAAAAAAAAAAAAAAATATATATATATATATATATATATATATATATATATATATATATATATATATATTTAATATGAAACATCCTGAAATATCTTTAGGAAAAATGTAAGTATTCTGTAAACTGCTCTACATGTTGAGGAAAATGGAAGTTCACTAAAATAAACATTGAATTACCATTTCCCCTATTAGCATTTACTCTTGTGTTAACACTAGGTAATTTAAGAGTACCCTGACTTCCACCAAAAAACTGTGCTACATATATAGTTTCTCAGTCTATTCGTTGATCTTGCAGAAAACGTAAATTTATTTTTAGTAAATGATAACGAGCATAAAGCTCATGTATGCATAAACACAAGGGGTTAAGTTTTATGCTGTATCATGGAGCAGTAGCAAAGTAAAAGTAAATTGCTTTGTAAAGAACTTATGTTTCCTATTTTATTTATTCCACAGGTAAAAATTCAGTCAGAACCCATGTTCAAAATGTTAATATGCTGGTATTTATTTGGTAGTTAACTTGTAGTATTCACAACATCTTTCATTCTCAGCTGAGTTTGAATATATTTCACCTCCATCTTTTTTCCTCTCTCTCATGCTTAGGAGTTGACACTGTTATGTTTAGGGAACTAAATTATAAAAGAGAATGTAAAAAAAAAAAAAAAAGGATCTGGGGAAAATACTGAAATTATAGCTGACAAACTATAAATTATTATTTTTAAAAAAGGGATAAGATGACATAAGGGAAAAAAGACTTTCATACCATTTGATTCTTTTATATACCATTTTTACAAATACTAATTAAAATTCTAAAAATGCATTATCTAGTTGTACCATTAACTCTTTTAAAACTTAAAAATAGCACAGAATGATAAAAAATCCATTACCTTAAGAGTAATCAAAGAATTAAAAAGTTCTTATGAGAACTAAATCCGCCTCAAATCTTATTTCAAAAGATGAACACTCACTAAAGATGAAAATGTTATGCACACTACAGACAACACTTCAAGTATTTTGAAGATGATATAAAAGGTAATCAATTTGAGAATACATATTTTAAAACACTTCAAAGAGTGCATTCAAATTTGTTCAGGGGGAACCACTTGCTTTGGGTGAAAAAGTACTAAACAGGGTAATCTTGGAGTCCCAGGAATTATTCCAGAGCCACCAGTATCTGCGTCCACCTGGTATGAAGCACCATGGAGGTTGTAGGACTTTGAGAAGTTGGTATGTTGTACAAATGCCTGTAAAGATTTGGACATTAAATGCCTTCATATAGGAGCCCAGGCAGAAGACCTAATCCTAGAACAGGATCTAAAGATGTCCATGAGAACCTGAACAAGGAGCAAAACTAAAAAGAAACAACCCACAAACTATGGCTTCTGTTATGAACTCAGAATTAACGCTCTTTTACCCCTATTTTTCTACAACTGTCATAAACCCAGGAAAATCTTTTATGATCTAACAAAGCTGAACAACAAATAAAATTTCATGCACAAATACAAAAATCTAAAAGATTAAAAAGTGTCCTTTGAGCCAGGACTGGTTTGGCTCAATGTATAGAGCGTCGGCTTGGGGACTGAAGGGTCCCGGGTTCGATTCCCATCAAGGGCATGTACCTTGGTTGCGGGCATATCCCCAGTAGGGGGTGTGCAAGAGGCAGCTGATCGATGACTCTCTCATCGATGTTTCTAACTCTCTATTCCCTTCCTCTCTGTATAAAATCAATAAAATATATATATTTTTTAAAAAGTGTCGTTTGATTAATCAAACGTCTTGAGGGTGAAAATTAAGGTGATCAGAAATAAAATTTTATTGAAAATAAAATATACTGGTGATTAAAAGCAGATCCTTCTGTACTTTAAAATTAGTGCCATTAAAAAAAATGTTTTAAAAAAACCTACTTTCAGTCTTTCCCATGTCAATAGTATTATTAAGGCTATAAATGAAGCTCTAATTTGAGAGAATATATACATAAGGCTTTGTTCTGTGAGTTTAATTTGCAACAGTAAATTCAACAAGTCTGGGGAGGGGAAATTCCACCTACTTTCGAGATCTTCCATATGTGCCTGAAGAGTTCTTGCAAGGTTAATAAACTAGAAACAATGCAGAAAAAAATACAGTAGTTGAAATGTTGCAAATGGATTTGAAGAGAGATTCAGTATAGGAGTTTCATTTCTATTTAAAAAGTCAAACACCATTTTTAAGCCTTTAAATAGGGGGGTCTTTCTTGACCCACATCAAAAATTACTAAGCTTAAGGATATTGTTTTAAATTCTTTATAAATTATAATAAATTAATCATGTATTAAGCATGTAGAAATTGGGAGCAAATGCAGAATTTGTATCAAATAACATTTCTCTTGCATAAATGTAATGCAACAATTATGAAAAAAATAGAACTTTAGAAGTTGGATTCATGAATTCAATTTTAGTGGTCAATTCAGAAAGTTAAAACAGGAGTATTTTCTTATGTAAAAGTGCAGAAGTATTGCACCTGATTTTGTATTTTTTTTTAATCATAAAAATGACTTGCACTTTAATATTAATTTGACTACAGCTTTTTAAAAAGGCATGAACTTAAATAGACCTTATTACATACTTTATATGGTTTATTCATTCTTAAGAGAGAAGTCATTTTATGGCATTAACTAGATTTAGGTGGTAAAAAACTAAGAAGTCAAGAGATCTTTGCTCAAATTCTGGATGGTCTTAAGACTGTTCATTCTCTTTTCCTCAATGATGATAATCTGTCAAATGGCTCACAGGTATAATAATGTGCATATGATGGTTACAGAAAAATGTTTTACCAATGTATAATACACATTTTTATAATTTAAGAAATACCATAAACTGTTAAATTGTCACTAAAATGAACACTTATATAAAAAAGGTTTATGAACATATTTAAAGATATGAAGTATTCAGATTATTACAGTAATAAGATGTAGGTGGCCCTAGCCTCTGCTACACAAAATGGACATGGTAGCAGCATGCAAATTTCCTCTGGTACACTGAGGCAAACTGCATCATTTACAGCTACCTAACAGCTAGCTTAAGTGTTAAATTAAGGTAATAATTTATTACCTAGGAAATACCAAATAGTCCATTATCTAAAATAAAAGTTTATATTATGGATTCACTTAAAAATTAGTATATTGGTAAGCTTTTACATGACAACAAATAAATGGAAGTTCATTTCCTTGTTCTCTCATGGTTTTTGGAGTTCAGATTTCTAGGTTATATTTCTAAGGCATCCTCCTCTCCTCACAATTAAAAAGAGAACTTTTCCCCCTTGGTGTTTCCAATTCTGTTTTTCACTGAAATATATTCCAATCACCTTTAAGAGCTAGAAAATTCTCTAAAATAGCTTTATGAGAAAATTAGGCTGCTTGATATAGAAGATAGCAATTTCTATTAAAATCTACTATGTTTTCATTTTTTAAGACACATTTTAACATAAGTCCTCAAAGGAAATAGAATAGGAGCATATAAAACAATCTGCTTTCCAAAGCAAACATCTGGGGCACATCACACCCTCCCTTCTCCCCGCTCCATCATTACTTACTCGGACTCGTGTGCTTGGTTCACTTGTATTTCCCATCATATCAGAAAAGCTTTGTTCGCACAAGTGCAATAACACAACTAGGTAGAGACCAGAGCTGATAAACTCATACTCAGCCTTCAAAAGAGAAGCAAACAAAAGAAAAAGGAGAATGAAAAATTAGTAAACTTGAGATTGATAAGTCATAGCAAACTGATAAACTAGAGGAAATATATTCTTTCATGACTAGCTTCTAGTAAGAGATATGGTGCCATCTATTAAAACAGGAAATAGCCCTGACTGGTTTGGCTCAGTGGATAGAGCGTCGGCCTGCTGACTCAAGGGGTCCCACATTCAATTTGGGTCTAAGGCAGGTACCTTTGTTGTGGGCACATATGGGTATGTAGGGCAGTGGTTCTCAACCTTTTTAATGCCATGACCCTCCTGTTGTGGTGACCCACAACCATAAAATTATTTTCGTTGCTACCTCAACTGTAATTTTGCTACTGTTAATCGTAATGTAAATATCTGTGTTTTCCGATGGTCTTAGGCAACCCTGCTAGTGGTTCTCAACCTGTGGGTCCCAGGTTGAGAACTGCTGCTGTAGAGCCTAAGACCATCGGAAAACACAGATATTTACATTTCAATTTATCAATAGTAACAAAATGTAAGTATCTGTGTTTTCCAATGGTTTTAGGAGACCCTGTAATGTAAATATTTGTGGTTTCCCGATGGTCAGTCATAGGCGAACTGCTGCTGTAGAGCTGAAGACCACTGGAAAACACAGATATTTACATTACGATTCATTAACAGTAGCAAAATTATAGTTATGAAGTAGCAAACGAAAATAATTTTATGTTGGGGGTCAACACAACATGAGGAATATAGTAAAGGGTCGTGGCATTAAAAAGGTTGAGAACAACGGCAGTAGGGAGTGTGCAGGAGGCAGCTGATTAATGTTTCTCTCTATCCCTCTCCTTCCTCTGTAAAAAAATCAATAAAATGTTTTTAAAACAGAAAATAAAGAGCTACCCTTCATAATGTCATAAAATTTTACTAATGCCAAATAATGAGCCCGAAGAGATGTGTGAATAGCCTCTTTAATCTCATATAGTCTTCCTTTACGTAATGCTTTATATAAAAGTAGGACTTTTAAGTCATATGATTATAGAATGAATCTGGTTCTTTATAAAACTCATTAGCACTTTCACTGCATAAATGACTGTAAATATTTACTTAAAAATTACCACTTTATCTGCAGCTAACTCAATATATACTATATAACTAAAACCTATTCTGATAGGTCAAATGATTCTTATGTAATACAATTAATTTAAAGGCCATGGTAATAAAAAATAAAAAAAAGACAGAAAAGGAAGTAGAGTAACTGTTGCTCAAATAGTTCTTTGATTCCAAACTAGTCTATTGTTTTGAGGCTAAGACTACAAGTCATATAGTGTGTTTAAAATCTGAACTGTCCTGTAGTTTTTATATAGCAAGCTATCTATAAGCTGTGCCATTTTGGTAATTAACTTAATCTGCAAGTTAAGAACTATACATTATTAGTACCAACTTCAGCAAGTTATCAGATTCTAGAGTACTAATGATATTTAAAATTGGTTTATTAAATGTTTCTTTAAATGCTTCACTTAATTACTTTTATTTTTAACTTACAAGAAAATTATATACCCATAAGACTTAAAAAATGTTAATAGTTAACATCTCGAAAAAAATGAAGCCACTGGAAATGAAATACTAAACTATATTAATATTAAACTAATCATCTAAAATGGGGGTGTGGTTGTTAGGCCACCAGAACCCATGATTCACAAAGAACAAAGAATAAAGCCAGGAAGCTTTCTTAGCAATGACTCCACCTATTTCCTAACACTTACAAATTACTTAAGATGTGGATCATTGAAATCACTGGAGAACAGTACAAACATTCCTGGTTTAACTGAAAAGCCAAAAACACCTTTAAGAGACACCATGGAGTACTTAGAGAAGGAAGAATGGCAGGAGAAAACCACCCTTTGAAACCTACTCTCATTTTGAGAATAAAAAAAATATTTTTTTGCATTACTCCATCTTTCCATAGTCTTCTACCATTCTTTAAAGTACCAATGCCCAGTTGTCTAGAGAGACTCCTTTGGCGATTTAAGAAAATTTCTTGCTTAAATGGTATTTTTTGGACAACTGATTCATTAGAGAACAACAATAATTACTATTGGAGTAACATCTATACTACAACTGCCTAATGGTTCATTAACTAAATCAGCAGTGGTTCGTTAAGTCCGAAAGGTTGGTGACTGCTGCACTAGGTCGATTTTTAACCTGGATGTAAGCAAACTGCTTTAAGGAACCTGGGAATCTCTTAACTTATATACAGATTTTATGTCTATGTATATTTTTTAAGACATGTTCATGGATTTAATCAGATTTTCAGGGGTATCCATTTATTCCCACGTTTAAAAGTAAAGTGTCCACAAGAGACTACATACTACATTATTCCATTAATATGAAATATTCAGAACAGAGAACTCCAAAAAATAGAACATAAACCAGGGGTGTGGAAAAGGGGGTAACGGGGAGAAACTGCTTAATAGATACACGATTTTCTTTTTAAGAGATGAAAGTGGGTTGGAAATAGATAGAGGTCATGGTTGCACATTGCAAATGTACAAATAACCACTGAATTCTTTAAGTGGTTTTTATGTTATCTCAACTTCATGTCAATAAAATAAAGGGGAGGGAGGCCCATTACCTCTTCATTTAAAAAGTGTTTCTTAAGGATTCATGTATTTTCTCACTATCAAATATCTCTCTTAATAACAAATATGCTAAGCTCACTTGGATAGTGTATGGCTCTAGGATCATCCTAATAATCTCCTTTAACATCTTTTCTTTACCTCCACCCCCCCAAATTTTCCTTTAAGAAGTAAGCTTTACATTTTAACTATATAATTTAATCATTTCAACATTTAAAAATTTAAAGTTCTTAAACAAAAATTAGTGATCAAATTATTGGGAAACAGAAGTTATCAACACATACCAAAAGAATCTGAGAAATGAGAAGAAAATATTTGAATAAGTATTATAATCAAAGAAGTCTGGATTCATTATATAAATAATAGCTAGACTATAATGGTACAAATACTAAAGGAAAATAACAACTGTGTGAATTTGGAATAAAAGATTTTATAAAATAACTTGTCCAACATAAGTTGGAGACAGAAATGGGAAGGATAGAGGGAACAAGGATAGCAAGAACATGTAAGCATAAAAAACTATTCTAACATAAAAAATACAGAAATAAGAAGCAAATCCAGGGTTTGGTGTTTTAATCATGTTCCAGCACTCAGAGGCATTTGTAACTGAGACATCTCTGGGGTGCTACTGTGGGACCACTTTCCTAAGCTTTTATTATTTTCAGGTTTTTTTAGGAAGCATATATTTTATCTAAATTTAAAACATGTGACTTGGTTATTTACCTTTCAGTGACAAAAAGTTATGAGAAAAATAAAGAAAAATTATAATCCCTAATGCAGTAACAGAGAATTATATTAAGAACATTATTACTATTTTTATTATTTTAATGCCGGTTTTCTGGCCATGTTTTAAATCTTTTCTTCAAGAGTTGTCCTTTAAACATAGAAGAGACACTTACCAACAAGGGAAAATATACTAACTTGTTCATTTGCATGAGCTCTGTGCAGTTCATGGACGTCAAAGTCCTCCAGGTTGAGCTGTAACTTCTCCTTACAGAGTTCACAGGTGGTCACAGCCTCTAAGGAAGAACCTGGAGAAACAGTACATTACAAGTTAACCTTAGCTTGGTGTTTTAATCATGTTGCAGCACTCAGAAAAACTTAAATTTTCCTTTAAGTTTTAAGCTTAGGACATAGACTGGATTACTGTCATAAACTAGTCATGTCTCCTAAAATAGCAATCAGCCAATACCTAGAGTGTGTGTCATATGCTACTCTATGGTATTTAAGCCTCCACCCATTATTTATATACCTGTTTTTTTTCTACTAGATAATCATACATTACTGATCCTGGGAAGCTGATAATGGAATGCTATCTGCACTTCCGCCTTCATCCTTCAGTACATCAGCAAGATGGCATTAAAACAATGTTTAATAACATAGTATCTCAAACAACTAGTTGCATATAGCCAGACTAGTATCTTTGATGTGACAATGTATACCTAAGACCTTCTGTGGTTTAAGGAATGTGCTGTCCCTAGGTTAGGAAGGAAAAAAAAAAAAAAGTTACTTTTTTTTTTTTTAAAGAATGGGAGGTAGACAGAGCTGGGTTTGAAATAACCCACTCTCGATCTTCACTCCCATCCCCAGCAGTTTTTAAAAAATATATATATTTTATTGATTTTTTTTTTTTTTACTGAGAGGAAGGGAGAGGGATAGGTAGAAACATTCATGAGAGAGAATCATCGATCAGCTGCCTCCTGCATACCCCCTACCGGGGATGTGCCCGCAACCAAGGTACATGCCCTTGACCGGAATCAAACCTGGGACCTTTCAGTTCTATCCACTGAGCCAAACCAGTTTCGGCAAAAAACAAAAAAACAAACAAACAAACAAACAAAAAGCCACTTTTGTCCAGATCAAAGCAACTCCTTTCTGTCATAAAATCGAGTCATGATATGTGCCACAACATAAAACATTATGCTAAGCAAAATAGGTAGGTACAAAAAGGATAAATACATTATCCCATTTATATGAAATGTGCAGAATAGGCAAATTCAGAAAAAATCAGAAGTTAACAGGGATTGTGGTGGGGAGGGGAGAAAGGAGTGTATTATTGCTTAATGGAAAGTTTGCAGTGATTAAAAAAAAAAATTTGCAGCCAAAACCGGTTTGGCTCAGTGGATAGAGCACTGGCCTCTGGACTCTGAAAGGTCTCAGGTTTGATTCCGGTCAAGGGCATGTATGTACCTTGGTTGCGGGCACATCCCCAGTGGGGGGTGTGCAGGAGGCAGCTGATTGATGATTCTCTCTCATCGATGTTTCTAACTCTCTATCGCTCTCTCTTCCTCTCTGTAAAAAGTCAATAAAAATATATTTAAAAAAAAAAAGATTTGCAAACAGATGATGATGATGATGATCACATAACATTCTGGATACACACAATGTCACTGAATTAATTGTACTCTTAATAACGTTTAAATGAAAAATTTTACTGTGATATATTTTACCACACTTTTTAAAAAAAGCTTTTGTCTCATATGCATGAAACATTTGATTACTCTTAAGCTTCTGGTTCCAATGTAGTAGGTAGCAGTCTTGTCTAGTTAAACATAAAGCCATTTTCCCCATTGTATTTGCTTTTAGATAGGGCTTTAAATTGAAGGAAAAAAAAAATGGTCAAAAAATTAAAGGAAGTCATATGAGTAGCCGGGGAGATGTTCAAATTCTATTCAACTAGCATCTGCTGAGTGCTTGTTATGTGCAATATTATAGATTCAGAAAAAGAATAATTAGTAACTCCTGTATTCAGAGAGCTCATAAAACTTAGAATTAGTGCTATTTAATAACAACAATTCTGTAAGTAATAAAATTTGGCATAGATTCCAAGACAGCAGTAGTAATTTACATACATTCTCTCTAAAATAGCTAAAAGAAAAGTGAACGTTATTCTGAGGTAATAATAAGTTGTTTATATTATCTCAAAAATATGCTTAAGTCAAATTACATAAGATAGTCACTATAACTGTACCACTGAACCAAAATCAGGTTAAGACCATAATGTGACCTGATAGAGAATATAAACAATGTGAAAGACATTTAGAAGGCTTTCTTTTATGAGGAATTTCTTAAAACTACTCTCTGATTCAGAAGCAGGAAAACTATGATGATCACAAAATATGTATCTTGGAGATCATTCAATACAAATTACTTCACATCTTAAGGCTTCATTTTTCTCTTCTATGGAATAAACAATTTGCAGAAGGTATTCAAAAGGCCATACCCAGCCAGGAGTAACCCATTTATCCCAACATTCTTTAACCCATTCTTTTAGCATTATTTTCTACCACATTCCAGTAGGCCCTGACATTTGCCTAAAATTGTACTCATCTTCATTTATTCATCTTTGTAGCAACTGCTTAATGCATGTTTATATCACTCTCTACCAGAAATGGGGTCTTTATAATAAATATAAGAAAGGCTTGTGAAAATTTATCAGAAAGGGTCAATTTTTGAGATATTTATATTCACTTGATCATTTCTTAAAAGTACTTATCTTAAAAAGTACTAATAACCTTATATACCTCACTTGGGTATTTACCATGTGCCCAGTACTGTGAGGAACTATTTATAAACTTCATCTCATATGACCTTCACAATAAGCCTACAAGGAAGTATTACTCAATTATAGTTATGATGGAACTTAAGACCCACCTCAAACCTGCTTAGTAACTTTTAGGAGTGGATCTAAGGCATCCATATTTTATAAAATTTCAATGGATAACTTTGATCAGTAGCCAGGGTCGAGAACCAATATTAAGAAAACTTAAGATCCTATAGTTAAGTGTTGGAGCCATTATTCCAATGTAGGTTCATCTAACTTCAAAAAGCCAATGTTCTTAAACAATACACTGTACTATCTGTTTTCCTATATATACAACACTAACAATCTCATTGCAAATGTATTAAAAAGTGAGTCACATTGTTTTTTCATTTTGGGACTAGTTAACATTTCTAGGCCTTTACTAAGTGCCAAGAACCATACTGAGCACTCATTTAATCTTAGTAACACTCCAGCACAGTGATTAATAAAGTCTATGAGGCTGTCATAACACCATACAGCCAAGAAGAGGCTGTAGGTGAAATGGCCCATCCTTTGGGATCACGCTAGCTTTAAAGAAAAAATAAGACTCCAACCCCAAGAAGACATTTACTACCTGGCTTTAGGAAAAATGTTTTCTAGTAGTCTCATAATCTCCAGCCTCAACAGGTCACCTGAATTCTCCAGATTATTAAAATTAAACTATCAAAAGTCAATACCTATTGGCCTATGTCTCTAAGGTATCACTATCAGACCTTCAATTGCACACAATTGCATATATTTATTCATCTGGCCTAATTTCTCATCTTTCTGATCCTACTAGTCACTTCACTATGTGCTCTGGTACTCATGGTACATCTATCTATCTCACTTGTGAATTTACCAGAGGTACTCATGGTAAATTCTTCTAATGACTAATCTCTTTTTGAATAGTCTATTCAACTCCATGACTAAACCACAGTGTCCCCTACCTCTTCTGCAGCTTTTTTCTACCTCACAACCTCCTTCTACCTCAAAACCAGGAAATTGGACAAGAGACTCGAAACACCTACTGCTGTTCTGAACCTCCAAGTTCCTCCTCATTCATTAATTGTAGAGAGCGCCTGGCAAAGGTTCCTGAGCTGATTGTCATCTGAATCCATTGGTGCCTGGCAGAGCCATGCTCTGGAAACACACCTTGCCAGAAGATGTGTTGTCAGCTCAGGTGCCAGGGGGTGGGTTTCATCACCTAAATCCAGCCAAGCACCAGGAACAAACATGATTATCTGGGCTCACCCAGAAGTGACAATTACAAAGAAACTACAAGAATGCATATAATCTCCTTTGTGTTAGGCTTTAGTAAAACTTCCTGGTATTTTGCTGTATAAAACAAATATGCTAATATCGGCTCTGGGTCATTGTCTCTCCATCAGAGGACAGCTGTCCCACCAGGCCCAACCTTTTCCTTCTATCTCTGTGTCTCTTTCTTTTTCTCAATCCTCAGCTGCCCCTACTCAAGGAACCAGACAGCTGGACAGGGAAGAGAGAAATATTTATAATTAATGACTTGAACAACTGCCTCTCTCCCTTCTTTACCAAGTTATTCCTGGCTATTTCAACATCCACATAGACCATTTACTTCTGACTCTGACTTCCTCAACATCATTGCTTCCAGTATTACTTTCCCCCACCACAACTACCAATTGTATGGTCATACCCTTGGCCCTGTCATCACAGTTTACTTCACTAACCCTAAATCTCTATTTTAAGTAACCTTTCCTCCTGTGTATCTACAATTTCTCATAATTCTAACTCACCTAATCTGGCAATTCTCTTCAATGGCAATGAGACTGACCCTACCATTTTCTCACTATCCATTTTCTGATATACTTATTCCCTCCAGATTTTAATTACTATAAACACAATTATGACCTTACAAATACCCTTGCCTTCATCATATTTGTTGGTCAAGACCCTAAAACCCTGCCCTGGCTGCTGTGGCTCAGTTGGTTCGAAGTTGACTCAAACACCAAAATGTCACCAGTTCAATTCTTGGCAGGGCATTCCCAGGAGGCAGGCAGCTGATCGATGTTTCTCTCCCTCACTCTTCCTCTCTATTTAAAAACATATTTAATAAGAAAAAAGAACTCAAATCTGTGGCTGTAGCCAGGCATCTAAAAACTGCTTCTAAATATAACATGTTTATGGGTTGGTAGAATCAACATCATTAAAATGTCCATACTACCCAAAGCAATCTATGTATTTAATGCAATCCCTATTAAAATACCAACAGCAGATTTCACAGATCTAGATCAAACATTCCAAAAATTCATATACAGAATCCCTCCTGCCCCCCCAAAAAGACCCTAAATAGCCACAGTAATTGCAGGGATCACAATACCAGATATTAAGCTATATCACAAGGCCACAGTACTCAAAACATCTGTTACTGGCACAAGAACAGGCATATAGATCACTAGAACAGAATAAAGACCCTAGAACTTAACCCAAGCCATTATGCTCAATTAATTACTCAATATTTGACTAAGGAGGCAAGTGCATATAATGGAGTAAACAGACACTTCAAATAAATGGTGTTGGGAAAATTGAACAGATACATGCAAAATATTGAAACTAGACCATCAATTTAGATAATATAGTAGAATAAATTAAAAATGGACAGAAGGCTTAAATCTAAGTCATGAAACCATAAAAATCTTAGAAGAAACCATAGGCAGCAGCACTATGTTTGCTGATACTTCTCCCAGGGTAAGGGAAACTATGGAGAAAATAAACAAATGGGCCCAGCCATGTGGCTCAGTGGTTGAGCATTGACCTGTGAACCAGAAAAGGTCATGGTTTGATTCCTGGTCATAAGCCTGGGTTGCGGGCTTGATCCCCAGTGTGGGGCATGCAGGGACAGCCAATCATTGATTTCCTCTCATTATTGATGTTTCTATCTCTCTCTCTCTCCTCTCCTCTCTGAAATCAATTTTTAAAATATATTGAAAAAACAAACAAATGGGAATACATCAAAATAGAGCTCCTTTCTGCACAAGAAGCCATCAACAAAATGAAAAGAAAACCCATTGCATGGAAAAACATATTTGCCAACACAGGACACTGGGGGTGCGGTGGGATGAGGGCATGTGACAGGGGTTAGGGAAGGCTGGGGAAAGGTCAATGGGGGAAAAAAGGAGATATATGTACTACATTTGTAATACTTTCAGCAATAAAATAAAATTTAAAAAAAAATTGCCAATGATACATCTGATAAGGGGTTAATTTCCAAAATATATAAAGAACTCATACAACTTTACAAAAGGAAGACAAGCAAACCAATTAAAAATGGGCAAAGAACCTAAGTAGATACTTCTCCAAACTGGACACACAGATGACCAAGAGATATATGAAAAACATCACTAATTATCAAAATCACTAATCATGAGAGATGCAAATTAAAATGCTAATAAGGTATCACCTCATACATATTAGAATGGCTATCATCAACAAATCAACAAATGACAAGTGCTGGCAAAGATGTGGAGAAAAGCGAACCCTCACACACTGCTGGAGGGAATGCAGACTGGGGCAGCCAATATAGAAAACAGTATGGAATTGCCTCAAAATATTAAAAATGGACCCAGTGATCCCACTGCTAGGAATATATCCTAAGAAACCAAAAGCACCAATCAGAAAGAATGTATGCACCTCTATGTTCATAGGAGCATTAATTTATAATTGCTGAGATCTAGAAACAGCCCAAGTGGCCATCCATAGATGAGTGGATAAAAAAAAGCTGTGGTACATTTACACCATGTAAAACTATGCAGCTGTAAAAAAAAAAAAAAAAAAAAAAAAAAAAAGGATTTCTTATGCCCTTTGAGAGAACATGGAGGGACCTGGAGAATACTGTGCTAAGTGAAATGAGCCAGTCAGAGAAAGATTAGTATCACATGATCTCACTGATATGGTATCTAATGAACAAAATAGATCCAGAGACATAGACACATGGAACAGACTGACAAATCTTGGAGGAAAGGCAGGGCTTATAGATGGAGGGGAGAGATTAACTGGGGACTTATATGCATATATTCACAGCCCATGGACACAGACAATAGTCTGGTGAAGGCCTGGAGGGGGCTGGTGCAAGCTGGAGTGTGTCAATGTGGGGTGGGGAAGGGAGGAGAGAGGAGGGAGGGGACATCCGTAATACTTTCAATAATAAAGATAAATAAAAGAATAAAGTAAAATAAATAACAACGTGAAAAAGAATAAAATTATATGTATCTATCTCACTTGAGAAGCATATTCATGGTCACTGATTTTTATGAAACTGATACTTCCTAAAAACACCTTAGAATGGTATTTTCCACACACATCAAAATCTCTAAAACTGTCCCCTAACCATCTGAAGACCTTACTACCTCCCTTAACTAAGAAAACAGAAGCAATTATATAGCAATCCAAGCATCTTCTTACCTAAACAACTGATCAACATCCTTCTAGCCTTCTTGTAATTTTTTTTTAAAACCTTAATTCCTATTAAAGGCTAACTACTTGACTTGTGCCCTGGATCCCATATCTATCTCTCTCTCTCTCTCTCTCTCTCTCTCTCTCTCTCTCTCTCTCTCTATATATATATATATATATATATATATATATATATAACTCAACTATCATTTCTTTGTTCATATCTCTTGGTAGTATATTTGACTGGGTTGATTACATCCTCCTTAAAACAACACTTCCTTTTTTTGGCTTGCACAACACCTTATTTTTTAAGCTTTTTTTCTTACTAGACTGAGTCTGCTCCTCAAATCTCTTCTGCCCCACTAAACATTTGGGTGTCCCAAGGCTCTGTCTTGGGCTAGTTTTTTGGATATCTGCTCTTTTCTAAATGGCCTAATTTAATCCCAATACTAAAAGTATTATGTATGTGCTTATGATTCTCAAAATTGTAATTCCCAGTGCTAATATCCTGTGAAATATCCAGCTTATCTAGCAAGTTGCTCAGTTGACATTTCCATCTGGTTAATAAGCAATACATTTATAATATTTATAAAACAAAACTCTTGATATCTTTCCCAAATTTATTCAATTCCCAGTCTTCTTTATTTCAGCAAATGAACCTACCACTTACTTAGCAGCTCATGACAAAAATATAGGCTTCCTAATTGTTCTTTCTCCTTCACTCCACCATATCTAATCCACCAGCAAGTCTATCTCCAAAATACACACACATACAAAAACCTATTTGTATCACCTCCATTACCACCTCTCTCTTATAAGACAGATTTCTGGTTAGTTGCCACAATAGACTACTAGTTAGCTTCTCTACTGCTACTCTTGTCCCCCTAAGAGCCACCCTCCACATGGCAGCCAAAATAAAAGATCATTTCACTCCACTGCCCTTCAGTGGCTTCCCTCATAATTAAAATAAAAATCTAATTTCAGACATTAGCTTCTGAAGGCTTAAATGAGCTAGCCTCTGCTAGTCTCTCCTATTTTAAATGTATCACCCCTTTCCTTGCCCACTAATTATAGTCCAAGCAAGCTTCATTCAGTCCTAAGTCATTGCCACTTTAAAATCTTTGCACTAGTTGTTCCCTCTGCCGGGATGCTCTTGCCCTCATTCTGGATTAGCTGGCTCTTCTCTGTTCAGTTTAAATGTCATCATCTCAACAAGTCATTCCTTTAACATGCAATATTACCCCATAACATGCAATATTACCCCATAAGGCAAGTACCTCCTCTGTCTTGTTTACCACTCTATACCTCACATATAGAACTGTGCCTGGTTTCACAACAGGCACTTACTCAAGAAACAAATGAGTCTCTACAGTAACATTATTTCTATACAACATTAGACAGTAGCATTAGAAACAAATCTTTTCAAAAGGATCTTACATGGTAAACTATGAAGTAAGTTGTCTATTGGGTAAATGGAACATAAAAAATAGTAGTATAAAGTTATGATATAAGACTAATGCGTTTTAATGTTTTTGCTTCAAAAAACAAGACACTTTGGTAAGAATATAAAATTGACAATTGTAATGATTTGTTAATTACATGCATTCATGCATACATCTCTTGGAAAAATTGTGAAAATAAAATACACAAAAAGGTTTAAATCTTACCAGAGTTAATTTTCGCCTGTAACCACTTTTTCATACACTCTTGATGGACATACTGCAAACTTCCTGTGCACTTGCATGGCTCTATTAGCAAGTTAGATGATGATGCAGCTGCCATCTGACAAATTCTACATAAGTCACCTTCTTCTTCTTCAGAGTCCTCTAAAAGGAGGCTGAAAAATAAGGCAGATTTCCATTTTTTCAAAGCTAATCCTGATGTTTCCAGTCATATATAATCGCAAACAGTATCTTTTTTCTTTCTTTTTTACTTCTACCCACTCTCTCTGATTAGGACAAAACAACAGTAACAATAAACGGCAACCACCATGAAAAACTGTAACAATGAGAATTAAAATAAATACTTTAAAGGTAAATAAAATAAACTATCCTGTTACTTATCTTCAAATGATTTAAGTAATTTTGTCTTTGGTACTAGTTTAAGTTCCATATTTTTCAATCACTTTATAAGTATCCTTGGGAGATTTTCATTTCTGTAGAATCACAGACTACCTCAATCCCACCTCACCCCTAATCTTCCCCAAAACTTTTAAAATAACTTGAATGCCTTAAAGAAATACAGCCTAGTGACTTCCCATTTACATATTGTCAAAACAACAAAATACCGGTAAGCTTTTTGTATTAAATTACAGAAAAAACAAAACGGATTTTAAAATTCTCCATTTACCACATCCCCAGCAATACTATGTTATTAAATTCTCTTGGGTAGGCTTTTAAGTGTGAAGCAGTTTCCATTAACCTATGTACTCTACTTAAGAGGCTGACATGTAGAATCATTTAAATGTAGAATAATAGCTATATAATAAGAAATTAATTTTTTGTTAAAATCCCTATTGGTTTAGTCCACTGCTAGCATAAAAGAGGTATTCAGTAAAATGATTGTACTTAATATTAAACTGTTATTGAAATAAAATCTGGATTATATTGGTTCACAATAAATTTAGCAATACTAGTAGGTGTGTGAAAAGAGGAATAAATATACAGCTGCTAAGTAACTCTCATGCCCTGGTTTAGCCAGATATACAACTTCAATTTTTGTTTTACCTTTAGATTTAACTTTCTACAGTTCATTGTTTTAATTATCCTTTACTCGGGAAATTTAATTTTTTTTAATATTACAATAGCCTCCCCACCTCCCAATATGCAGGGAGTACATTTCAAGATCTCCAGTACCAAACCCTATATATATGTTATGTTTTTTCTACACACACATCTAGAATAAAGTTTAATTTATAAATTAGGAACAACAAAAGATTAACAACTAATGAAACAGTGATTATAATATACTATAATAAAAGTAATGTGAATGTGGTCTCTCTCTCAAAGTATCTTATTGTACTGTTTGTACAGGGTGGTCAAAGGAATGAGCCACATCATGAACAGGACAGAGCCAGGTGGAATAAGATTTCATCATGATACACAGAAAAACATACAACATAAAACTTATGAATTTGCTTATTTCTGGAATTTTCCATTTAATATTTTTGAAACACAGTTAACTACAAGTAACTAAAACCACAAAACGTGAAACTGAAGGTTAAGAGGGAACTACTATAATTTCAATGTAGTGTCTTAAAATCCTCATGAGCAAAAATTCAATAGTTATACATACACACAAACTCTATGGCAAAATAACCAACAAAAATTTTTTTTTAACCATCAAATTTTTAAATTTTTAATCTAACCAGAGAGGATGGTGCCAGCTTAATGTGTTTTCCTGGAAAACACTAAATTAACATCTGCTTACATCATTGCACTCAAATTAACCTTACGTGGGCACATGAAATATTTATAACTATTAGTTATAATAGCTGTAATAGTGGTAACTACATTCCTCAGTAGACATCTTGCAATCAGAGGGAACTGCTACAATAATGTTAAAACTATCAGGGCAGAGTAAATCTTTCTCCAAGAAGGAAAAATCAGAAATTTTAAAAGCCGGATGAGTCTTATGGTACAATCGGTCCTTTATAAGGAAAAATGGAACATAGTAGCCCAATATCCAACATTTCAGAAAGCATGTGAAGTTTCCTTTATTCCCAGAATTAGTTTTGAATGTATTTCTTCTTAAAAAAAATTATCTAAAACGATAGTAAAAGCTATGTTCCTCCCAAATTACATGAACATTTAGGCCTTTATGAACAAAAACACAAACAAAACTCTGTAACCTTAGCTTTAAATAGTCTTTTCTTTCTATACATATATTTTATATGTACTACCCTATCCCATTTCATCATTAAAATTACTTTACTAGATGAAAAAACTAATATGACAAAATTAATAATCCAATTGGTTCTACAATCTCTGATCTTTCACCTTTCCACTTATACCAGACATTTTTAAGCAAACTTCAACTGTATAAAAGATTGGTATAAAGATTCTTTAAAAGTCTGAAATTTAAACTGGTCTATCAAATGGTCACAATATATTAAAATAATATTCAGTATATACTTGGGACTTCAAAAACAAAACTAAAAATGTGTAAATAATTTTATGTTTAAAAGATAAGTTGAGAATGACAGATAGTACATAAATCATCTTAGTAATCATCTTAATAATCCATGACCACTTAGGCCTCCTTACCAATCCAATTTAGCACTAGTCCATCAAGGACTAGTGTTAAAAGATTTTTATTTTTGTGTGCTTTTATATCCAAATCTGATTAAAAATCATCTTTTAAAAATTTTTTTTATTAAATTATCTGTTTAAAAATAATCTTTAGATCATTTCTTGATGTAGTAGACACCTTAGTGCCTACTTCCATTATTCTCATCCATTTAATCTCTATCAATGCTTATATCTTACCATAAATTTAAAGGGAACAAATTTTAGATATTGTTATAAGCAGCCTAAAATTTTAGAAATACTTTTTTCTCTAATCTACTCTTGCTTTATGGGCTTAAGATGGGTATTTAAATTTACCTCTCTTTTATTTTCTGCAGTTTTTCTGGATCTCTTGAAGGTGCACTTTTAGTTTTATCACTTTTTCCACCAGATGAACCCCAACCTGAAGGAATAATATCTACAGTGATCATGACATTGTCGGTCAAATTACTTCCAAGTGTTGGGGGGACTGCAAATCGAAACAAAGAACCAGGAAGGATCCCTGTCATTCCTGTGTTTCTTCCACTGCGAGCCGAATCTGACATGGAGCCACCTGCAGCAGCACTGCTAGATGCTGCAGGTGCTTGTGATCTGTTGGCAGCAGCCCCTAGATGATCACTCTGTGCTTCCAGATGAACCACTTCATTTGATTCTCTTCTAAAAATATGAGATCGAGATTGCGTTTCAGAAGTGGATATCCTTGAAGATTCATCTCGTCCCTCTCGCCTTCTTCTAGAGAACAAAGGTGTGCATCTATTTCTAAGTGAGGAAGATAGCCAAGGTCCTGTATTTCTACCTTCAGTTTCTTGGTTAAAATTTTCTGAATCTGGCTCAGTGCTATGATTTTGAGATGACAAACCCCATCTTCGCCTAAGAAATCGAAATCCCTGAGAAGCTTCAGATGCCCTATTATCAAGAATGTCAGAAGTTGATGCTGCATTACGAGACTGTGAAGAAATTCGTGGAGAAACATATGAATTTTCAGAACTCAATGATCTTGTATTTAAGGATTCTTGACTAGACCTTCGTGAAAAAAAGGTAGATGACATACTAGAAGCTATACGTGACAGTAATCTCCTTGTTGTACGTCTACCTTCATTGTCAGAAGATTCTTGAAATGATCTTTGAGATGGACCAACCCTATCTGAATTGCTTATGGTTGAGGTTTCACCTCTATTTGAAAGATAAGAAAATCCAGGCTGTGTATTGCTTTGGAGAGACTCCAATTCCCTTGAAGAAAAATTTGATCTTAAAGAATTTCTTCTAGAATCCCTAGAGCACAGTACAGTCTGGCGTTCAGAAGGCATTTGGTGGTTTGTGGATGATGTATTTAGTTGTAAAGTGCTCATTGAGTTCTCTTTTGGTCTTGCTCCCTGTGAATATGAAGAAGGAACTCTGTCTTGAACATCTGTTTTTGAAAGAAAGGAAAAATAGGCAATTACATGAAATAAATTGACTATTAATAGAACTTGCATTTATTAATGACTAATTACTGCCAAAATGAAATACTGGTTTGAAACTTAATAGTACTGCAAAATGAAACACTGGTTTGAAACTCAATAATGCTACACAGCTTAACTATTATTACAGGGGAAAAAACATAAATGTGCTTCTCTTTCTATACATTTGGTGAAATCCAGCACTTTTATATAAAGTCGTTATACTTTATACAAAATCTAAAAAGAAATGAGAGCTTATGAGAGGCAAACATCAATCTACTAATGCGATGAATGTAAAACAGCTGAATCTGTTGATCAGAAAATGATATGGTACAATATCTAACATTTAAACAAATAAGGAATTTTAAATGTGCCAAATAAGTCAATGTAAATGACTCTTGTAACAAATAAAAGCGTGAGGTGGGAGTAGGCTAGAAGGGATCAATGGGGGGAAATCAAAGGGGATAGGCTAGAAGGGATCAATGGAGGACAATCAAAGGGATCAATGGAGGACAAATAATAGTTTCAACAATAAAGATTTTTTTTTTTAATTAAAACAAAAAAGCAAAATAACCCTAAGAGACAGTGTTTGATAAGTTTTCTTACTCTGCAGTAAGTATAAAGGATATTTCATAGAAGTATTATCCCCTAGTAATTTTATGGCAAACTCTGCTAACATGCTAAAAATGTCTCCATCCCCTCCATACACCCCTCAATGTAACAGCAGTGATTCTTATTCCTGGTTACTCATCCACCTTTGCTTTTTAATACTGGCTGGGAGCTATGAATCAGAATAGAGTCCTGACATCTAAGATTTTAAAAGTACACTATTGGTGGTTCAAAAATTCATAGGGATGAGAAAATCTATAGCATTCCTTTATAAAGAATGCTTACCCATACACCTAATTTAAAACCTAGATTACTGGTGTGCTAATTCATGCAGCCTCAGGAAAAGAGGAACTGTTAAGGGATAAATCTATTCTATCCTGTACTTTATATTCCCAATCTAGAAGCTACTGATACCATCTACTAAAGGTAATCCATTCAAAGCTAAGCAAATAAAAAAGATGTTTTAATTTGTCTTAAATAAGCAAAGATTTGCCCCAATACATTTAACTTAAAATAAACTTAACCTTTAAAAACAAATGTATCTTCTACATAAATCAAGCTCCACTTTTGCCTGCTATATTTGTCTACTTAATCATCACTTTTTGTCTTCAGTTACTTAATATTATTGTTTTATGGTATTTATGTTTGAAAAGCTCAAGCTTCTGTGCATTGACAGTGTGGTTATTTTTACTAAATGAAAACAAAAGCACATTTGTGTTAAATTAAGGTAATTTTAAATTGCTTAAAATGGTAATTTTAAGGTAATTTTAAGGTAATTTTAAGCTTTAGTTAGTTTAAAATTTTACTATACATACTAGGTTACTTATTATACTACATAAGGCAAATTATACTGGAATATACAAGGGTTGTTTAGTATACTTTACGGCACATACATCCTTAAAAGAGCAACTAAAAAATTTATCAGCACACAGAATCTAGATATTTGTGCACTTTTAAGTTATTTACATTTTTAAAAGCAAAACAACAAATAAGGTATTAGGAAACATTAAACTATTTTAAAACTCTCAAAAGATTCACCTCATTTATTCTTTTGTACTGTAATTTAGTGATATAAAGAGGAAAACAACATTATCAGATTAAATTATATGTAACAATACAGTTTATACATACACGATGAAGTTGTGAAATCACTACTTCGGCGACTATAATCCATAAGATTACTAATGGAGGAATCTGCTCTCCTTTCTAAATCTCTCCTCTCTCTCATTAAGTCACTTCCAAATGATCCAAGTACCACTGATGAAGATCTGGGAACTTGACTATGTCTCCAAGAATCTTAAAACAATCAAAGAAGTTTTAATTCAGAGAGAGCTTTTAAGGTTTCTAATGACAAAAATAAAATAAAATTAAAAAAATAATAATAAATAAATAAATAAATATTCAGTATTATACAGGGAGGTTGTCATTTATTACAGAAATCCCCATAGTTACAGAGTTGTAATCAGAAGTAAAATTTAGCAAAACAGCCTGGCTGGTATGGCTCAGTGGTTAAGTGTCAACCAGGAGGTCACTGTTCCATTTCAGATCAGGGCACATGCCTGGGTTGCAGGCTCAATCCCCAGTTGGGGGTGTGCAGGGGGCAGCAAGCAGATCAATGATTCTATCATCACTGATGTTTCCATCTATCCCTTTTTTCCTCTCTGAAATCAATAAAAACGAATTAAAAATTTACCAAAACAAAATTATTCATTAAATAAACTCATTACTTACAAAATTATTTCCTATTACAACAGTCTTCTCTAACACTAAACTCTATTCTGCTCGAATTTTGGCTTGATCCCCAGTCGGGGGCTTGCAGGAGGCAGCTGATTGTTACTTCTCTCACCTACATGGTTCTCTCTATCCTTCTCTCTTTCTTTCTCTAAAAGTCAATGAAAACATGTTTTAAAAAATATATAAAGAAATTGCTTATACTAATTCAATTGGTAATACATATGCATTTCAAGAATTTTATATCCAATTGTGTCATCACAAGTTCTGCACCACGTTAAAATGATGTTAGGCATTGAATAGTGTTTCATATGAAAAGTGAAGAGGGAGCCTCCTAACCTCTTAACAAAAGATTTTTTCAATTTGTACAACAAATATATCTGTGAGAACAAAATACCAAGCAAAAAGCTTTACAGATAAGCCATTTAAATCCCAGAATGGTTAAGTGACTTGTACATCTAATCAGAGGGCTAGAATCATGGTTTTCTAATTACTACCAGAACTAGTAGAATACCACCAACTGTTTTTTAAATAAAGATTTTTATATTTTCTAAACAATAAATATATACCACAATGTTACTCATTTATAAAAGTCTAGAGGCCCGGTGCACAAAATTCATGCATGGGTAGAGTCCATAGCAGATGCTGGTCGCCAGCAGGGCCTCCCTTCGTTCCACGGCATCCCCTGGTGGTCAGCACATGTCACAGCGAGGGATCAAACTCCCGAGGGGACACTTTGCACATTAGACTTTTATAGGTATAGAAGATAAGCTTTTAAAATATTTGTCTACTTCAGAAAAATTGGCTTTTCTAGTAACAAAAAACTTACCTCCTATAACAACAGAAGAATCCACATCACTTTTACCAATTGATCACCATACATTTTCGGCTATTCTAGTTAATTTCAATTCCAGCACTAACTTGCTAGTTAAGGGAGGATGTTAGAAACTCCACTTGCTCTATTTGCCTAATATATACCAGATCTTGGGAAAGGGGCTTTAGTCCAAAATACATATGGTGTAATTCTTACATAAATTTAATTCTTACCTGATACTGCATTTAAACCATGGCCAACATTTCTCCCAGCTGAGGTAGATGTACAGTTTGTACAGGAAAGTTTAGGTCTTTTTGAATCATGATCCCGTAGCTGGTTTTGTGATCTTGAGCGTGCACCCTGAGTTATCTCAGATTCACTATACCATGTAGACTGAAATGGAGATGCAGCTGCTGATGCAGATGTAGACTGTTAAGTCAAAAAAAATTTTTTTTAAAGGAACAAAATGCTTGCATTCAATATTAAACTTAATTGACAATATTCTAATACTTACCCAAGGACCAAATTTTTCTACCATGTATGTTTTTCATAATCATTGTTCCCTTTAATCCACTGCCTCATTATTTTATACTGAAATTATATATTGTTGAGTAATAAATCTGAACTAGATTAAGTCTTCTGTGTAACTATATATAAACATCTGGCTAGGAAATTCTCAAAAGCAAAAACTTTATTCATTTTGTTTTCCTGGTTTAATATTTCAACCTTCCGAGGAACCTGTTTCCTGTTCTTAGAGGTGGACAGAATGTCAATAAAGGCACTAATATGTAAAACTGTGAACACCCTACTATGAAAATAAAAATTTTCAATAAAAATTTATACTAGCCGAAACCGGTTTGGCTCAGTGGTAGAGCGTTGGTCTGTGGACTGAAAGGTCCCAGGTTCGATTCCGGTCAGGGGCATGTATATTGGCAGCTGGTCAATGTTTCTCTCTCATTGACGTTTCTGGCTCTCTATTTCTCTCCCTTCCTCTCTGTAAAAAAAAAATAAATATATTTTTTTAAAAATCTATGTATATAAAAAATATGTGAATTGACCTAACAGTAGAACGACTGCTTGACCAGTTGCTATGAGGAGCAATAACCACTTCCTGTCCTTCCCCTGGCCATCAAGCTCCAATTGACCGACTGTGAACAGGGAATCAAAGGTGAGTGGCAGTGGGGGGTTGGGATTGGCTGCAGCAGCAGAGGAAGATGGCCCTCATTGCAGGCCAGGCCAAGGTTCTGTACCCATGTACAAATTTTCTGTACCAGGCCTCTAGTTATAACATAATCCTACCTGATAACAGTAATATGCAAATTAACCATCACTCTGTCACGCCCACCAGCCAATCAGAGCAAGTATGCAAATAAACCCAACCAAGATGGCTACGGCCACAGAGAGCAGGAGGGAGGCTTGGGTCTCCCACACAATGGAGGAAACCAAGCTTTCCACCTGCCCTTGCAGGCCTAAGCCTCCACTCAAGGCCACAAAGTTTCAATTATAGAAGGTAAACAAATCTAAACAGAAATGGCGGCAGCTACAGAGCTGGAAAGAGCAGGAGACTAGGGTTGCCCCCAGCAACGGAGGAAGCAAAGCTTTCCGCACACCTTGGCCAGTCCAGTCCTCCACTCCAGGCTAAAGTTTCAATTTCAGAAAATACATAAACCCCAACAGAAATGGCTGCTGGACATGGAGTGAGCAGGAGGCTTGGCTCCGTTCCAGGCTACCAAGTTTCAATTGTAGAAGGTAAATAAATTCCAGATATCAGGGCCTCCGTTTGGGTTGCCAGGGTGGATGGCTGGCCTGTAAACCATCACAGGCCCCTTGCTCAGGCCGCTCCACACCCCAAGGGAACTCCCACCCTGATCTGGGACACCCTTCAGGGCAAACCAGCTGGCCCCCACCCATGCACCAGGCCTCTATCCTATCTAATAAGAAACAAAGCAATCCAGAAGTCTAATAGATTCTTAAGCTCAGGAACATATTTACTAATCATTCATTAATCTTTTCAAATTTTAGAACTTTATTTTATGAAATAAGTATGTGTCCTATATATAAGTAAAACTAAAATTCGAAAATATTCATGAAATATCAAGCACTATATAAAAATAAGGTGTTTCTATATTATGTAATCCATAGTGTAACTGGAATTATAATTTAAAAATGTAGGAGCTAACATTTATGTAGTGTTTACCATGTGGCAGCTCTATTCTCATTCAATGTATTAATTTATTTAACTCTAACAACCCAATTGACTAATTAATATAGAAAATAAGATGTGAAGTTAACTAGTCCAAGTTCATATTGCTATGAGTGGAACAATACTCCAATCCAGGACATATAGTCTGGTTTCAGAGTCTTGTGTTTCTCACTAAGAGGCTGAATGAAAAATTAGACAAGCATCAGAAGACAAATTTCTATAAATATGTTGGGGGAGGGGACGACAATGACAATTCTGTGCTCTTAGTAACATCATTTAACCTACAACATTTTTATAGATGTGATTCTGGGCCTCTGGCAAGTATATGCTTGTTTACCAACAAAATTAAAAAAACAAAACAAAAACCCACAATATCAATTAACACTGAAAATGAGACTAAGCAAATAGTTTATATAAAGTTTATGAGTGTGTATTTAGATATGTACATGTTAGAAAAATTGTTTTCTCTATTTTATAAAATGTGTTTTATTATGTAGAAATATTTTCATAAGACTATCATTTACTATATCACATGATACATAAATATATAAATACTTGACAAGAATTTTCACTAAAGGATTCTCTTAAGATGAAGTTACCAAAACATCAGACTCTAGCAAATCAAGTGTGATTTAATTCTGTTCAGACAATAATGCAATAAATTTAAATTTAAAAGACAAGATAAATTGCACTAAACTTACAAGTCATGCCATCTAAGATTTACAGCTTTATACAACTACGATGTTATAATGCTAATAAACCTTTCCAAAAACTGTCAGTCTGAAGTAAAATTAGTTACATTAAGAGTAGTACCTGTAGCTTTATATAGATTATGAATTAATGCAGTCATTACTAGCCATAAAAAAGTCCCAAAATTTGTCCATAATGCAAAAAACAAACACTTAACAATGATTATTCCACCACTGCCTTGAATACTCAGAGAAAAGTCAGATAAATGAATGTAACAAAGGATGCATTTCTAGTTCATTGACAGTCACCTACATTGATTAACTTAATCAAATGTATACTTAAATTGATACTTGCTTTTTTTAAGTAAAAATGTTTCCAAGTCTTTGAAGAATATGATCATTTTTATTAAGATCACAATCCCTCATTCAAAATTATGAAGTCCAAGCAGTTTGAAAACCATTAAGTTTTTGCTGCTTGTTATGATCATTCATTTTGCTACAGACATAAGTTTTGACATCTCAAATTCGTTGAGGATATTCTAAACATATTCTACTATAATACTTACCAAAAATTCAAGACACATGTGGCCCCAAGGATTCTGAAAGAGAGACTGTATATATTAAGAAATTACCTGGTAATCAGAATCCAGTCTAAAGGAAGAGTCTCTTGAGTGATAGGTATCACTTAAATTACTTCCTCTGTTTCCAGACATCATCCTAGCACTTAAAGAGCTGGGGGGTTGAACAGAAATTCTTCTTGGAATCCTTGAAGGTTTAGACTCCATTCTTAAGGTTTCCTGTGAGGTACAAATTTAGATGAATTGCCTTTGGGAAAGCATGCAGCTCAAATCAAGAATTACCTATGCAAATTAACATTAGTATGTATGATGGGGCAAAAAATTATTGTTTTCCTTTAAAGCAGGATGACCATATTTCCTGGTTTACCTAGAAGAGTCCCAGTTTATGGCCAGAAAAGTCCTGATTTGTGCTCATTATCTTAGGACAATTATTAATAGAGCTTGTGCTGTCTCTCTGACCTGGTTTGGTTGATAAAGCATATGAAAGCTTTAGCTTTTTATAAACTATATATATGCATGTCTGTGCAATTTTTTTTTAAACTAAAAAGATGTGTATTATGAATTGGACCTTTAAAGAAAGCATACATAGTACAAAGAGTATTAATGGTTAAACAGTGACAGGCAAAAAGTCCATAAATGACAAGAAGTATTTTATAAAAAAAAAATCTATGAAAATACAAACAAGGAACTGTATTTGTAACCTAAGATTTTAAATAGGTAGACAAAGTGCTTTTAAAAAGATGCAGTCCTATAGATGGTTTTCAGTAACAATGATTCTCTTTAATCATACTTCTTGTAGTTTACTTTGACTATATTTATATCTAAGACTTACTTGCATACTTGCAGAATGAAACTAACCTAATAGGAAATCTGTTTAAAAGAAACCTCTTGAGAAGACAAAGAGGCAGAGTCCTCTGAGAGATATTTTATATTATATGTAACTATTTTTGGCAACTTCTCTACATAAACTGATGGAATTTCGACAATGTAGGTGTTACCAGAGAGCTTATATAATATGGTTGCATAAGTTGTAGGTCAAAAGCATAAAAATTAGTAAAAAACTTAAACTGCATAGTCCTTGAAAAACTTCTACCTGATCACTTGCAAGTTAGTACTATACTCTTTTAATTTGAGACTAAAATCAAATGCAAAGCAAGAAACTTTGTTGAATCTTGATTCATAAAACAAAGTTTGAATGAAGACTGAATTTTAGTAAGGTGTCATGATGTCTGCAACTTAGTGTTACTAATACTTCAAAATAACATTACATGTTTTAGAAGTACTATGTGTATGATTACATATAACATCCTATATAATATGCTAAGTGTCCAGTCAACCTGTTGGCCATTCAACCAATATGCTTAGCATATAAAGCCTAATATGCTAAGTGTCCAGTCAACCTGTTGGCCATTCAACCAATCAAAGCATAATATGCTAATGATATGCTAAGACAACTCAACCGCTCGCTATGATGTGCATTGACCACCAGAAGGCAGATGCTCTGACCAGTAGGTTAGCTTGCTGGTGGGGTCCAGGTGAGTTGAGCTGGACACACCTTGGAGCCCTCCTTCGGTCCCTCCCGACCTGGCCAACCTCCTATGTTCCTCCCTGGCCCCAATCATGCACCAGTGGGGTCCCTTTTACAATCCAGGACCCCTCAGGGGATGTCAGGGAGCCAGCTTTGGCCCAATCCTGCAGGCCAGGCCAAGGGACCCCAATGGTACACGAATTGTGTACTGGGCTTCTAGTAAATAAAGTAAATGTGGCAAATTATCAACTACTGAATGTAGGTGAGGTCATCCAAATATTAATTTTACTATTCTCCCAACTCTTCTCTATTTAAATATTTTCAAGTAAAATAAATCAAAATTGGGGGAGAGTACTTCACAGGTACATTATGAACTTTGCTGGCACATAATATGTATTCAGCAAATACCAGCTATTATCAAGAAATACCACCAATGTCAAAAAAAGATTTTCATATGAACAGCTTAGTAGACATTCTATTAGTTTTTTCATTATTTGAGCATGGATTTTAACAGTTAAAAAAAAAAAAAAAAAAAGACAATCTGCAACCCAGGTACGTGCCCTTGACTAGGATTTGAATCAAACTCAAGACCCTTTGGTATGCAGGCTGATGCTCTAACTACTGAACAATGCTGGCCAGGGCAAAATAAAAGACTTTATTTAAAGTATATCAGATTTATGTACAGGAAGATAATTACTAAAGGGTAAAGAAACTTATAGACCTTACTTATATAAAAATTTGGAAATAGCATTATTAACATGTTACTATGTCCTTGGGTGGGTTTTGTTTCCTTCTTTATACTTTGTCTTCCAAAATTTATTTAATGTACTTGGTCTTACTTTGAAAAATAAGGAAAAGTTATTTGCAAATTAAAAGATGTGTGTTTTTTTTACAACTTATATTACAATAAACTCTATAAAGAACTCCTAAAGATAATTCTCTTTCAAAATTGCTGTACTGGTTTACACTCCTTAGTAGCTACATATTACAAAAGTAGGAAATATAAAACAATCAAGTACTATTCTAGTAAATACTAAGAGGAAGAAAAGGTTAAAATCACTACACTAGCCCTTACCAGTTTGGCTTAGTGGATAGAGTGTCAGCCTGTGGACTGAAAGGTTCCAGGTTCAATTCCAGTCAAGGGCATGTACCTTGGTTGCAGGCACATCCCCAGTAGGGGTGTGCAGGAGGCAGCTGATCTGTTTCTCTCTCATCAGTGTTTCTAATTCTCTATCCGTCTCCCTTCCTCTCTCTACAAAAAAAAAAAAAAAAATCAATAAAATCTATTTTTTAAAAATCACTTCACTAAATGCAGTTTAGATAGGCGAGTATGCACCAAATATTTTTTACTATGAAAAATTTCAAATATAAGTAGAGACAATAATAAACCTCTATGTACCAATCAACAATCTTCAACAATTAACCTATCTTATTTTTACCACCCTCTATTTTAAAGCAAATCCCAATCATGACATTAAGGATGCCTGTTTTAAAATGTTGGAAGCAACCTATGGTAAATTATAAATCTCTCCCATCTGAGCACACAGGCCCCTTTGTATCGTGATGTTGCTGGTCTGGTCTGCCCAGTAAGAGGTGGAATCTTAATTCCACACCTTTTTAATGGGGGTTAGTCTTGCGTGATTTACTTTAAAAGAATGTGCAGCATGGGATGGGCTCAAAGGGGTTAATGGGAGGGAAGAGGAAAGGGGGACATACATTAATACTTTCAACAATGAAGATTAAAAAAATAAAAGAATGTGCCACATTACGTGATATTATATGATTTGCCAAGCTATAAGAAGTCTTATAGCTTCTGCTTTCCCTCTCTGATTGGTCTTGAAAACCCCATATCATAAAAACACCAGCACTGTCAGTCATGTGAGTGATGCCATCTTGGACCTTCCAGCCTGAGAAATCTCCCAGCTGAATGATGAACATGAGTGAACCTGGGCAAAACCAGTATACCTGCCCAAAAGACATACAGAAGTGTAAAAAAAATCAGTAAACATTAGTGAGTCCCAAAAGGGACCATGTTAACCTAACTAGCTCAGAGAAGGCCTCTGTGGTGGCCTTGCAATCTTGGAGAAATAAATTTACCACAAAGGATGGTCTGAAATTAAAACCTTTTAAACTAAAAGCAGTTATTGTGGGTAGTCATGCTCTACCTAGGCTGTTATCTTACCTTAACTGAGCCTATTGTCTTTTTGCATCTATAACATATTGCTGGAATGGCAAAGTACAATTTTCCTTTTTTCCAAACCCCTCAATGCACAGACAGGCGCTGTTCTTGACTCATTGCGATTGACTTAATTGTTGATTGTTAACTATCCTGCACCCATTTAAATAAAAGAAGCATTTGTCTATCATTTTACTTTTTACCCAACCTAGAGGTTTTTCCCTGCTTTGCTTTCTTTAGCCTCCCTAATCTATCACCAATGGATTTCATGTAACCCACTTACATCTCCTCTTTTGATTGTAACGTATATTATAAAGTGCAAAAAACTGCCCTTCTCCGGAGCATTATCTCAATCCTTTAAGATTCTGCTTCCTAGTATTTGTTGAGTTTGGCTCAAATAAACTCACAAAAAATTCTTCACATATTTGAATGTTTTCTTACACTGACAATAGCTTTAATCTACTAGATTGTGAGGTGGGTTGCTATACAGCCAAAAAGCTTCAAAATCTAAATCTAATTTTCATTTTCTTACAATTATCATGTCAGCTTTTAATAAAAGTCTGATTCTATTTCAGGGGGTAACTGAGAATTTGCTTTAAATATCCAAGTGAGATGCAGTTGCTGAATTACCAAAAGCACAATATACAGTACATGTCATGAAGATCAGAGTTATAAAAGAAAACAACAATGCACTGTAATTACCAATTATTAACTACAAACATAGTTAAAAATCCATTACTTATCCCTACGTGGTATATGCTTTTTCAAAAAATCTGCTTCTGGGGAAAGTTTTTTTTTTCTCAGTTAGAAATTCTAGTTTCTTACTTTTCCTAGTGAACATGGAGACATGGAAGCTAAGGGAGGTCACATGAGGAAAGCATAGAATTTTGGGGGGAAGTCTTACAATTATTTAAGACACATTTTAAAGATCCATCTTTAAAAAATAACTAGAAAAAGTTCAATATCCCCATGAGAAAATGTGACTATGATGAAAGTCTACACCATAGTACTTTGAGATAATCTGTACTCCTTTGAAGTGTATTTAAAATCCATTGTCTAAAGTTTCAATCTTCATTCAGTAAGTGGAAACCATTTTGGGTTTTTTTTTTTTCTGGAAAGTGAGAAATACATTACATTCAAGTGCAATAATTATAATGGAAAGATGAGAACTTTTAAGATAAAAAAAATATGCCCTCTTTTAAAGCTGTTGACAAAAGTGGGTTTTGTAGTAGACCAGCAAGTGATTTGAAAACCAGGTGTTCAACTTATCTAGTCTAACCGGTATAGTCACAGAGAACGAGAAAAACCAGCTTTGATTTGACCATGAGTTCAAACCAGAATAGAAAAGTTAAAAATTAAAGTCAATAAAAATTAAACTCCAGCCAAATATCTAATTGTAAGTTTATGCCCCTGCTTTTGGGTTCATTTTATGATTAGCAACTGTATTACAGATATATTTTCTTGTAAAATAATGATTTGTGAGAAGATAATTTATTTCACTGT